GGTAAAAAGCGTAAAAGCGCTGAATACCTCGTCGTGGCAGGAAACTCTCTTCTATTACAAGACAAAATTAATGACGAGGACAGAAAGCAGAGGAAAAATAAACAAATAAAAAACCAGCAATCGCAGCCCCCTCACGACCGCAGGAGGGACGTTTGCTCGCCCGATGCGAGGGCGTCAAACGTCGTGTAGTGCACGCCGTCGCTGTGCGTCGCCCGAAGGGTTGGGCACGCCGTTAGCCACAGCGCCACCCCTACACGTGACGCTGCGGTGCGGAGCCGCGACAGCAGGCCGCGCCTCTGTGCGGCGGAGGAGCCGACGGCGCCGCCGCTGCTGCTCCTCAAGTTCTCCGTCACCGTCTGCACCATCGGATCACCAGCGGGGCTGAACAGATCGAGGAAGTTGAGCCAAGGACCCAAATCGTACGGGCTGCGGTACGCAACGCTCGTGGAGCGGTACACGTGGTGCCGCTTCTCGTCCACGTAGATCGACTCAATCACGGTGGTGTTCTCGAGCACGAGGCGTCGGTTGAAGTAAATGAAGAAGGTCATGCAGAAAAACATTGTGATGGAGATGCCGAGCACCATGACGGTGGGGTAGGAGGTGAGCAGCACGCCGGACGGACCGTAGGGCATGCGCAAACGCTGCAGCTCACGCGCCAGCGTCTCGTTCGCCGGAGACCGCAGCCACTGCTGGTAGAGCGTGTCGCGCCGTGTCGTGTAGCGGTGCTGCCGCGCCATGCCGCAGCCGACAAAGCCGGTGGCGAGCAGCGTGCCGAGCCACAACCACGCAATAAACAGCAGAAAGTACCGCTGGTTCTCCACGTCCACGCAGTTGTTGATCCACGGGCAGTGGTGGTCCATCTTGGCGACGCACTCATTGCAAATGGCGCAGTGATGCTCGCGGGGCGCTTTCAGCCGTCGACAGTGACGGCAGTAGCGACGCGGCGCGTCCAACACACGCGCGGCGCGCTGACGCGGGCCACAGCGCTCCGCCGTCGCCGCCAACAACTCCAACTCGCGTAGGACGTTCATAGGCGCCACTGTGGAGGAAGAGGCGGCACCGCAACTGCACACAGAAAGTCGGCTGCAGCGCTGTTTTGGGCACGAGTGGGCCAGCGTGCGACACACACGTGTTCCTCCAGCTTCGAATAGCCGCCGCCAACAGTGAGGTACACACCGGCCAGGCGGAAAGGCGGCTAAACAGTACGACAAGAACAACGGTCGAGTTCGTCGCCCGTGATCGCCGTCCTCACTCGCCTCCTCCACCTCCACCTCCATAGCGTCGTCGAGCTGCGGGGAAATCTTTGGAAAAGGGGAAAAAGACGCTGCCGCACGTGGCGGGGTAGCTGCTGTGTTCGGCACTGCTGCTCCACCTGCACGCACACCGCTGGTGTTGCTGTTATTATTCTGCGGTGTTGGACTTGGTGGGACCGCCTCACGAAAGACGCGCATCACCTGAATACCCCCAAAGCGACTCGGTGGTGCCGGTGCCGCACCTGCCGCTGCTGCCGCCGCTGTCGACGGTTTCCTCGACGACATCCCTGCCGACGTGTGAAGGGACAAGCCACTCCCCGACTGCGACGTCGGTGCGTTGAAGGTGTGCGCTGTGGAATGCGAGTCCAGCCCCACCTGCCGATGCTGCCACGACGAGAAGGGCTGCCGGGTGTGCCCATCAGCGGCAGCTTCGCTCACAGCCGCGGCATTAGCGTCGTCTTCACCGCTCACGTCGTCTTCATCGTCGCTCGAGTTGTCCGCCGGGAGTGCCGCAGGATCTGCCCCGTACGGATCTCGATAGACATACCCCGCCGGGGCCGTTCCCACCCGCCGCGAAAACGCCGTCGCGCAGAAGTAGTTGAAGTACACATTGAAAGAGACGAACACCACAAGCGACTGCAGAAGGTAGTACGGCGCCGACCGCGGCGTCGTCAGGACCGGCGCGACATTGCGTGCGATCGTGACCACGGTAAAGGTGACCAGCGTCATGCCGAGAAGGATGACGAACCAGCTCAGCACCCGCGCCGCCACGTTGAAGGAGCGGGCAAACCAGCGCTGCTGTAGGGTGAGCCACATCGCAGCGAGGAAGTTGTGCCGCTTCAGCGCGTAGTTGAGGAGCGCTCCGTTGTCCATGGTGTTTTTTTTTTAGGGTTTCTGTGGGGGAAAAACCAACGCTAATTTGTTCCGGAGTACAGCATATAAAGGAAGAAGTATATAGATGAAGAATTGAACAATATGAGGTGCAAACTCCGGGCGATTAGCACGACAAGCAAACGAGTTTTGGCAGAATAAGGGAAAAAAAACTTCGCCGCCGCCTATTTTTAATAGGCAGCCGCGGAATCCACAAACGTTTCGCGGAATGCGCTACCCAACGCAACTGCACGTTGTCCGCGCAGTCTCCACTCACTGGCGAGACGCGTAGCAAGCGCAGAAACACACACGCACTCGCTGCAAAGCAAAAGAAGAAAAACACCGACCGGCAGACGAAATGGAGATGGAGATGGCTAGAGAGAGAGAGAGAGATGGACCTCTTGCAAAAATCATGAGAATAGCCATTTCTGTAGTTTCTCTTTTCTCCCACGTTGGGTATCGCTCAGTGATGCACATCGTGGAGCGACGCATGGAGTACCCAGAAAAAAGTAGCTGCCGCTCCTGAATGAGAAAGCAGATAATAATAGCTGACAAAACTCCCCTGTTTCTTTTTATCTTAAAGAAGAGGTTCGAAACGAATGAGAGGCGTCAACATCTTTTTTTTGTCTCTTCCCTCGTTGGCACTTCTTGTCGGCTCAGGACGGTGACTTGAAGCCGCACACGCGTATGCAAAGACGATAAGAGAGGTACTTCAGGCCCCAACATGAAGCGTTTGAAAAGAGAGCAAAAAAAACAAAGCAAATCAAAGCACCACCTATTCTTTTCCATGCTTCGCGGATTCGAGTGCTGTCTGTCCGCCGTCCCTCCCCTTCGCGTAACGCTTCGATGGCGCGCGCTTCGGCGGATCGCGCGACTTGCGCCTCCTTCGCAAGTCTCGAATGTACGCCCGCATCAGCCCGTATTTGGTCGCCGGCCCGGTTAGGTAGAACAAGTACTCGTAGCTGTAGATGCCACCGGCGTGGTCGTCGGAGAAGACAAAGCGCAGGGCGTAGTTGCCCATAGGCACGATCTGCGCAATCGAAATCCCGCGACGGCCGTAAATGACGATATCCCGTGAGCCGAGTGCACCATCAGTGCTGGGGGTGTAGGCGCGGAGGTACTCCGCCAGTGCACGCGTGCGCAGCAGCGGCGGCGTCGTCGTCCCTTCGCTGTTGTCGGTCTCCGCAACCGCAGCACACACAGAAGGTGATGAAGGAGACGATGATGGCGAAGAAGAGGGAGCGGATGGCGCGGTCGCGGTGCTACGATCGGGAAAGCTCGGCGACGCCGTTGGAGGAGGGGGAGACTGCCCGCCCGCGGATACGCCGCGCATCAGCTCGGCCGCCTCCGCCGGCCAGGTAAACTCCACGTACTGGCGGGACCGGTCGACTTTGACGCTCGTGGGGACGAGGCGCTGCTTCACTGCGCGCTGCCTTGCCAGCCGCTCGGCGAGGTTCTGCGAGAGGGCGTGCTGCGGCTCAATCGTGCGCCGCGGCTCCGTGACGAGCTTCTCATCTGCCAGCCACACTGCTTCTGTGAGCTGCGTTACTTTGGCCGTGACAGAGTCGCCGAGCTTGCGGAGGAGGGAAGTGTAGGGGCGTGCGCTGATGAACGTGGCCGCTGCTGCTGACGATGCAACGAGGACTGGATGACGGAGAGTGTGTCCGCTGAGGCGTCGAGGTCGCAGCGGCAGCAGCAGCCGTGGAACCACGGAGGCCCTACACGACATGCATGAAAGGAAAGTGGAAGAGCCGCGCCGCTGCGCCGCTCTTTGCTTCCGTGAAACGTCAGATAGTGTGGAATCCTTCCAAAGAACAACAACAACAAAAACTTACGCGTCACATGAATTGCAGTAGAGGGAAAGCGAAGGAAAGGCGATAACAGTGATACTACTGTGGCGTGGACTCGTAGAATGACGGGGCTTTCTGGAGATGCGCACTCCACCAAAGCCTCGGTTCAGTGACAAGCCGCACCTACCATTACGCAGATAAACAATCCCCATCACACACGCAAGGGGCAGCCGCATAGTTCGTATGTAACGCGTGGCACGGCGAGCCGATTTCGCTCCCCCGTTTCCCTATTCTGTCTTCTATTATCTTTCTCTTCCTTTTGTTGTTGTTGTTGATGTAACTACCGTTCATCTGTGACTACGCAAATGGACACTTGGAGCGCCCGAAAGAGCCCTGGGACAACGTGGTGAAGAGTACGACGGAGCCACAACCCATTCCCCCCCCCCTCTCCCCACCAGTTACCGGCGAGCGGGAGAGCTGCGCCACGTCCACCGTCGCTCGCGCATGCCCTCGATGATGCCGTTCTCCCTCACCGCGTCCTGCTCCGACGTCCCCCAGAGCTTCTTGCGCCGCCGACACACATAGCGCTCGAACCACCAGTCGCCCACCGCGGAGGGGACGGTGTAGTAGAGAGCGCAGAAGGCGTTCCGTACGAGAAAGCGATCAAGGTGCATGCCCACCCGGCACATCGCGGCGTAGTTGGTGGAGACCAGCAAATCCGTCTCGTCCGGGCGCACCAATCGCGCACTGGCCGTGGCAGACGCGTGCGGCGCCGACGACGACGCCGAGTTGTGGAAGAGCGCGTGATCGTCCGCGGCGAGTCCGCCAGGCCGCACGCGGGCCAGGAAGCTCGCCGTCTGCGAAGGCACCTTCTCGATAAACACCACAACCAAATCTTCCGGGGTGGGCAGCACCGCCAATGCCATCGACGGCGTCGCGGCAGACGCGCCGGATGACCTACTCATCTTCACGGAGCGTTGAAAGAAGGAGCGATGAATGTCGGTGCCCTCTGGGGAGTCGAGCGAGGCGCAGTGAATGCGGTGACGGTCCAAGCCCTCCGCCATCTCCTGCTCTACCTCGCTTGAGGCGTAATTCATGAAGCTGAAGAAGCTGAAGTTGCGCTCGAGGACGTAGCGGACACGCGCCTGGCACATGAGACAGTGCCCATCGAAGACGAGAAGGTTTCGAGGGAGTCGCGGTAGGAGCTGCTTGTAATGGACGCCCCTGAAGCGTTTGATTGGCATATTGCTGTGCTTCTTCTTTCTTATTTAGCATGTTTTTGCTTGTTTGTTTGCTTCGTCTTGGCGGACCGCTGCGGAGGAGTTCGCCCAAGTCAAACACGCAGGAGAGAAGGTGAGGAGTGGAAAACAAGAAGAAGCTTCATGACATCTTTTTTCTTCTTTTCTTCTTTTTTTGAAGAGGCGATCTTGACGGGTGCGATGCAGCTTTGAGCTTCTCAGCGGCCACCGCAGTGCGCACCGTGGTGGTGAAGTATGGGTGCTTTCTATACTGTCGAGGTGTCTTGGGCCGCTCGTTGGCTAACGAGTTGGTTTAAACATACACTTTTCATACTATACATTTTTGTTTTCCTTCATGTGTGCTTCAAGTACCAACATATCCAAGTAAACAAATGTTTTCTTCCTTTGGCTTAGTGTGCGCGCGGACACCGGTGAGACGACGTGCATCTCCCGCATCCGTACGACACCTTCGCGATCCACATTCGTCGTGCCAACCACGGAGAGCAAGCGCCGGTGCCGCCTTCCCCCCCCCCCCCCCCACCGGCCGCTCCACGCGTGTATTCCTCGTGCGTCGGAGGGAGCCATCCAACATCACCAGGGGTGCTCCACATAAACCCCCCAAAAAGCCCGATCACCAACCAACGACCCGCCCGTTCACAGTAAGTAAAAACAATAAAAGAAAAACTCTAGTCGACTACTCTCAGATCAGGAAGGAAGGAAGAAGAAAGGAGAAAGGGGAAAGATCAATAAAGTGCAAAACAGTGTCGTTACATCCCTGTATCGTTTTCATTTTCCTTTAAGGGTAGACGGCGTTATTTTCTTTTTATATTTGTTTTTGAACCATTGAGAACTTTACGAAAGGGAGTTTCTTGCAGACTCAGATCGTCTGCATTTCCACCTCGTGGGGTTGGAAAAGGGGCGGGACGGTGGGGAAAAAGAAAACAGCCTTTCCTGGAGAGAGGTCGACTGGAGGGGAGAGAAAGAGAAAGGGCTAGTAGTACAATATGAAGCTTTTGATTCATCTCCCGGCGATTTTTTCCTGGCGCAAGAGTTCAGAAAAAAGGAAAAAATATATATATGAAGGTTAAAGCGGCGCGTCAACGAATTGTGGGGAAGGGTCACCGTCGGCGGTGCTGAAAGCAAACGCGCAAAAGTATCGGTCAGACAGCTGAGGTGCAAAGAGAGTGAGCTGGGGGAAAAAGGCCAATAAAAACAAGATTTCACCCGTCGGCTTCCTCTCCTCTCCTCTTTCGATTCCTTTACATTTTCTTTTTTACAGCTTCTCTTGGTCGTACTTCTCCTTGTGCGCCGCGTAATGCGCCATCATCTGCGCTTTCTGCCGCTCCAGCTCCGGCGTCAAGTTCTCAAACACATCGTCGCAGAGGCTCGTCACCGGCCAGGGCGGCAGCTTCTCCTGCCGCCGCAGCTCACTCAGCACCTCCTTGCGCGTCGCCTCAATAACCTGCTGCGACTGCTCCGGCGTCCACCACCCACGATCCGTCACGAAGCGCTCAAAGCGCGCGATCGGGCTAAACGTCTCGGTGAAGTACTCAATCTCATCCCGAGCGCGGTAGGCCGTGCTGTCGTCCGACGTCGAGTGGTGCGACACGCGGTAGGCGAGCGCCTCGATCAGTACGGGGGTGCGCTGGTCCAAGATCATCTCCCGCGCCTTTCGCACGGTGTGGTAGACGGCCAGGGCGTCCGCGCCATCCACGCGCGCCGCCGGGAGGCCGTAGCCCACCGCACGGCCGAGGATGCCGTCGCCCATGTATTGGTTGTGGGTGGGGGTCGAGATGGCGTAGCCGTTGTTGCGCACAAAGAAGAGCGCGTGCGAGCCCATCGTTGCGGCGAAGTTCAGCCCGGCGTGGAAGTCGCCCTCGCTCGCCGCGCCCTCGCCAAAGAAGACGGCGGAGATGCGCGCGTCGGGCGCGGTGGAGAGCCGCGTATCCGGTGGCAGACTCTTCTGCAGTGCTTCGTTCTCGAGCCGAAAGGCGTAGCCGGCGCCGGCGCCGTGCGGGATCTGCGTCGCCAGCGGTGAGCTGACCATCTGCACATGCAGCCGTTTGCTGCCGTAGTGTATCGGCATCTGCCGGCCCTTCATGTCGCACTCGCAATTGCCCATGCATTGCGCGATGAACTCCGGAATGGTGTAGCCGCGGTAGGTGAGGATGCCCGACTCGCGGTACTGCAGGAACAGCTCATCGTTGCTGGCCAGTCCGGCCGCCGCACCGATCACCGCCGCCTCCTCGCCGAACATCGTCATGTAGAAGGAAATACGGCCCTGGCGCTGCGCCTCCAGCATGATCTTGTCCATCGTGTTGTGCACCAGCATCGTCCGCAGCATATGCTCGATCACGACGCGGGAGATGACGCTGACTTCGCCGCCGACGCGATAGCGAAACACCTCGCCGCCGTCGGCGCCTTGCAGTTCGGCGGTGGCCCCATCATCCACCACCGTCTCTGCCTCCGCGTTCTTGCCTGTGGCGCCGTCTAGGGCGACACGTCCGTCGAGATCCAACACATGAAAAATCGGCGCGGCCGGGTCGGCCTCGTCGTTGAAGGTCAGCGCGCGCGTCGTCACTGGGCCGTCTTTGAAGTCGACGTTCCACACCTTCTGCACCTGGCGGAAGGCGTCGCTGATGGAGGTGCGCGTAACAATCGCGGCTGCCACCGCGTCGCACCGGAGAAGACGAGACAGGCGATGCATCGAAAGAAAAAAGCCGTAGAGAAAATAATAATATAGAAGAAGAAACCGTGTGAATCTCTCACGTACACCACGCAACTCCTACCGCTGATGAACTACGGTGACCCGTGAGTGTGCGTGAGCTTGTGAGCGTGTTCCGTGATCGGCAAAGGAGAACGCTACAACGAGTGTTTATATACACAGGAGGAAGGCAGGAGAACAGAAGCGATGTGGAAGAAGGCCTCTTTGCTGGCGGAAGAAGAGGAGGAGGACGCGGCCGGGAAAGGTGGGTTTTCGCGATGAAACTGAAGCAACGGCGGCTGCTCCACGAAGCAGCAACAAAGAACAGAGAAGGAGAGACGCGCCTGTTTGAAAAAGGCAGGAAGAAAGACTAGACAGGAAAAGCGCGTGAAGTTTCGTTTTAGTATATATATGTGTGTGTGTGGCCGCCCTAGACAACGCGTGCACACACACCGCAGCTGAATACGACTCGAAAAACAATAAAATGAACTCGCGAATGAAGGTGCTCTAACCAGTGTTGTGAGGACATCACAATTTGAAAACGAGCGAAATGCGGAGTGAAAGCAACGACGTCCGACCACCGAAGAAAAGAGGGCGAAATTTATGTACATAAACGGGGGGAAAAAACCGTAGGCATCAAGAGAGCGGGAAGGTGGATAACAGCGGTAATAAACGAGAGGGACACAGAAGTTGCTGCCAGCATTCCACTTTAGCGTGGAAGCAGACCCGAAAAACTTTCTTACGAGTAGTTGTCCACGAGTGCAACATGGGACAAGGTCGTGTTCGCGAAAAAGCACTTCCGCAGCCTTTTCCTTTCTGCGGAGGAGGCGGGGAGGAGGTCATGTGAACGAGTCCGTTGCGGCTGAGCGAGGACAACGGCAGCAGCAGCAGCAACCAAACATCGCCGAAAGTGAGTGTATCGTCTCTTTTCTTTCGCCGCTTTAGATTCGGCGCTACCTTCGATTCGAGGTGGTAGATGCACACAAATATATATATATATATATATATCCATATACCCTTCGTCTCTCTTCCTTGTTTTCTTTGTTTGGAGGGTTTCCTCGTAGGTGAGTGAGCGTGTGCTGCCGCTATATGTCTTGCCACGGCGGCGCCAAGCAGGCGTTGCGGTCACTATCATCTATACATAAAAAGGCGGGAAAAGGCCAAACAGGCAAGGAACCATCGCCGTCCAACGCGTCAGGGCTCAATGGAAAGCTGTGCAAACACCCTCACAAACACAAATGCAAGTGCATAGCTAGTGTACATTGAAAGAAGAAAAATACAAAAAAAACACTCAAATCGTCGAGACAAAGTAGCGGGAGCCCACGACAACGCGCCAAAGCTATTCCGCTGTTGCGATGAACGGACGTGCATCGACTCGGAATTCATCAAGAGGTATCACACCCACACCCGGAGGCGAGGGATACGAATAAAAAAGCCCCCTCTCCCCCACCTTACGCCTCGGTGAGGTCGTCGTTGTAGTACAGGTGAATAGCAGGGACGTAGTAATCCGCATTCAGCCCTAACGACTCAAAAGAGTCCGCCTCGTCGACAATGCCGTTTTGCTCTAGCGTGAGGGACATGTCTAGCTCCCGCGGCTCCGGGTCCAGCCGCACCCACGTGTAGCTCCGCGCGTGTGCGTTGACGGGCAGGTAGCGCTCCTGCAGGAGCTGCTCTAACGTCTCCTCCGCACACACCTCCAGCGTTGTCTCGTCCCCAGTAAGGGTGTTCACGAGGCGAATGCGACGCGTGCGGCTGGTCAGGGCCCCAACGACGTAGCTCGGGTCCTTCCACCACGGCGTCTCGTAGCTCAAATCGATCTTAGAGTCAGGGTAGATGGTGGGCATGTGCGGCACGCGGCCCAGCGGCATGGCATAGGTTCGCATGCCGCTATTCACGTCTACGCAGGTTTTAAAATCGTCCGTCTCCGCGTCCCACCAGTGCGAGATGTCGGTGCCGGCGACCTGAATGAGGGGCTTCGTCAGCGGCGCAACGCGGGGATTCGCCCTGTAGGCGCGAATCAACGAGGTGAGGTCGAGAATCTTGCCGTTGAGGGAGACGTACGCGTCATCGTCGTAGGCGTGCTCTCGCACCTCCATGGCGGTGTAAAAGCGGGACATGCGTAGATGAACAAATATATATATATATTTCTCTGTATTTCTCTGTGCGGGCGCGGAGAACAGAAAGGAAGGCAACGCTACGGCACTGACGCGTCAACGGTGTGATCGGCCGCTGCTTTTGTGAATAGTTATGTACGATGACCTACACAACACGAGCAGAGAAGACAAATAACGCGGGAGGAGGAGGGGAAGGGGGAGAGAAGTACGCATTGACATGTAGAGAAATCGGATTAAAGTGGTTGAAAGAAGAATAATAAAAAGAAAAGTGTCGTTTCATTGAATGTTTCCGTTATTGAGAACTCACACGCCCCGCAACGGTGCGCGCCGCAGCACTGCGCCCCTACACCTCAAAGACGAAAATGACGCCCCCTTTCTCTTTATTTCCTCCCAAACTGAACAACGACAAAAAACAAACCAACAACCAAGAAGACTCGGATTCGTTTTTGAGGATCATGTTTCGTGCGTAACGCGTTTTTCGTGGAAAAGCAGCGGCACGTGGCGGTCGTAATCCTCTGCCTCTTGATGCTTTCGTTGACAGCGCGACTGCTTCTCCATCACAGAAGCATCGAAGAGGCCCAGCCGTCCCGGTTGTGCACCACCACCGTCGCTGCTGCTGTCTCGCACGGCGCCTCCGCCGCGTCGCCGTAGCACACACTCCACTCATACCACACCCGCCGCTGCGCCGCGTTCGTCTTGCGCGCCAGGTCAACGTGCAACGCCACCACGCCACTCTTCCTCTTCGCGGCGGCCTCCACCTCGTGTAGCTCCCGCTGCTGCGTCGGCTCCAGCGTAAACGTGCAGGGGAACCAGCTGTACATGTCCGCCGTGCGCTGCATCGGGGCAGTGGAAATGGTGACCGCCGGCGAGGTCGGCGACTGATAGAGGACGCAGGAGAAATAACCCGCCAGCCCGCTGCAGCGACCGCAAGGGGGCACCGTGAAGGTAAGGTGCGCGCAGCGCTCCATCGAGGTGGCATTCATAGCGGTAGCAGCCGTAGTACTACTACTACCGCTACAACCACCATTGCTTGGCGCAGAGTCCGGCGACGCTCGAGCACGAAGGGCGTCGTGCGCAAAGTCGTGCGTGAAGCTCCAACACGGCTGCGGCGCCGCCAGGGTGACCCCGCGATTGAGGTTCGTGACGAGCAGGGAGTGGTACAGGGCGGCATGGCGATCGGGGCAGTGCGGCAGGGCCACCGTCAGCCCTTTCCCCGCCGCCTCGGACACCGCCTCCTCCAGCGAGACCGACATGAGCGGCGCCACCCACGCCGTGTACTGCTGCGGGATGCAGGTGAGGTGGGCATTGCGGTGCAGGCCGCGGCGGTCCTGAAGCGTGAGGAGCTGCTCGTGAAAGCTCTCGAGACACTCGGGGCTCAACTCGTTATCGCCGAGGCTGCCGAGCAGCTCCGACACAACGACGTCGCAGAGGCCAAAGTCGGGCGGCAGCACCACCGATCCGTCCTGCGCCGCCCGCGCGATGTGGCGGCCGTCGACCACCAGCACCTCCAACGTGTGTCCAAAGGTGTAGGCGAGCTGTGCCCACTCCGGCTCACTCGCCCACCGCATGCGGGTGAAGGCGGCTGCGGGGCGGTTCTTTTCCATCGCGAAGATGCGCAGCCGCACGCCGAGGGCAGAGACGGCGTGCAGGCACTCGTCGATCAGCGGGCCCCGCCCGCACCCGAGCAGCACCAGGTGCAGCACCCGCTCATCGGAGGACGGCGTCGGCACCGCGCGCATCACCCCATGCCGGTCGAAAAACTCTTTGTTTTGAAACGCGTGCTGCCGTGCCGGTCCATCCTCGTACCAGTCCCGCACGTAGCGGTAGATTGCCTCGCGGTACTGCCGGTACTTCCGCGCATCGCGCTCGAAGACTTCGTAGACGCCGCTGGAGAGCTGATGGCTCAGCGGCTGGAGCGGCAGCTGCAGTTGGCCCTCGAACGGCGCGAAGACGTCACGCGTCGGCTCCTCGACAGCCTTGAAGTACAGGTAGTTCATCAGTGGATACTGGTCAAAGAAGCCGCGGTCAAACAAGGGTAGGGCGCGGCGCCGCATCAGCTCCACGAGAAAGGTCAGCACACTGACAAAGGGCGGGTAGCCGCCGGCCCAGCGGGCGGCGCTGAGAGGGGAGAGGTCCTCGGGCATCTCGTACACGTACCGGCGATGCTGCACGTCTGACAGCTGCGTGTCCGCCGCGTCCGCCTGCTCACTGGGGAAGGGACTCCCCATGGCACTGAGTCCATACGGCCCTGCCACCGTCATCGCAGCCGCAGCCGACGCATCATCAGGCGTGCGTTGCAGTTCGATGCCCAGCTCCTCTCCCCAGTCCGTTCGCGAGCCATTTGCCGCGCTAGAGCACGCGCTCCTGTCCATCTCGTTCTCGTCCGTCTCGGGCAGACGCGCCGACGACGACCGACGAGAGACGTTGTACGGAGGGGGTGCGTGCAGGGGATAGAAATCACCATCATCATTAGCATTATTATCGTCATCGTCATCACCGTGGTGGCCGGGACGGGGGTGCTCTTCGTCGCCTTCTGCGGCCAGCGGGTCCCCCTCCTCGCCGGTCACCGCCGAGTTCAGCGCGGCCGACGTGTTCAGCGACGCGGCGGCGGCACCACCCGGGCGGTAGTGCCGGTGCTGCTGCGGAGTTACGCCGTGCGGTGCCATGCAGGCAAACAACAACGGCGCGGAAGGGCACTCAAAGCACACCACTTGCTCACCAAACCACTCGCTTGGCAGCAGCATGCGAGGGTGCCACGAGGAGAAGTACAGCATCGTCACGAGCGATGACACCGCCTCCGTGTGCACAGTGTCGCTAGTGGACGGGTGAGGTCCCGCGGCAAGCGGAGGAGAAGGGCTGCCGCTGCCGGTGCCGGCTACACTACAGGGCGGGTTGATTTCATACACGACTTTGCGGTCGGGTGTGGAGTGGCGTGTGTAACCGTAAAGGACGGCCTGGCGCAGTCGCTGCATCTGATAGCGGTGCGCAGGATTGCAGCCATCGCAGCGCACCCACACCTTAACGTCGGAGCCTTGACGGATGTAGGTGAGGAGAGCGTCCGCGGCGAGACACGCAAGGCGAGCGTTGCGCTGACCGTCTTCATCGGGAGACAAGATCGTGGTACGGCCCTCACCAGCCGTGCGTGCCGCGGCGTCGTTATCCGCCGTTGCCGTCGGCGCCGCTCTCGTCACGGCACCAACCACCTCCTCTTGATCATCTACATCACTGTCGCTCACAGCAGCGGCCCACGGCAGCTCACGTGCGTAAAACGGCAAGGGCACCTGTACGGCGCGTAGGCACATAAAGCTCGCCAGCTCGAGCTGCTCGCGGATGCGCTGCCGCTGCTCTCGTGTTGACCAGTTCGTCTCCGTCACGACGCCGTTCATCGCCTGGCACCACTCTGACGGCGTCTGCAACACGTTCCATGCACTCACCACTTCCCTGTGCCACGCGTCCTGCGCGAGCTGCGCGTTGGACGTGAACTCGGTCGGCTGCACCGGACCAAAGAGGAGGTGATAGAAGGGTAAACCGTCTGCTGCGCTCTCCCTGTCCATCTCCGTCTGTGGCGCCGCTTCCGTGCGGCCCCCCTTGTTTGGTTCGTCCTCGACTACGCTTGCGCACGGTCGTGGCGCAGCGAGATTCGGGAGGCGACCGAGAAAACACGTCCCGAAAAGGGCACCTAACATCCGAGTTTGCTTAATTGAGCGCAGCAGCTGCGGCTCCCCCGTAATGCCGTAAAGTCGCAGCGCACCCGGCTGAAACACCCCTGTCGTGGCCCACTGCCGCTGAAGGCGCTCACGGCCGTAGAGGCAGTAATCCTCCTCCACGGCGGAGGCCGTGTCTCGTGCGCCGGAGCCGTTGCTGATGCCACCACCGTCGAGAGACATGGCGCTGATGGAAGACGATGAGTAGAGAACGAATGAAAGAAAAACAAAAATAGAGAGGGAGAGAGATCAGTTGTGGTTGACTCAACGATAACTGAAGGCACAGTGTTGTGCCGCTTTCACCTGATGGCAGTCGTGTCCGACTGCGCTAGTCGAGGAAGGTACGATGAAACGGAAAGAGGAGAAAAAAAAAGTAGATAAAGCGAACCCAATGCAGTGCTGACGTGGGAACACCACACAGGCACACACACACACACAGGCAGGTCAAAACAACGCCGATGCGGCGAAGCTCAAGAAGTTGAGGTGACGCAGCTCCGTTTTTTTTTTCTTTAAAACAGCTATGAAGGCAGCGAAGTGAAACCACAGAGACAACCCCTGCGTAGATGCTTAGCTATTTCCTATCAACGCGCTTTCCTTGCCTTCATGAACAACGTTCTTCAAAGAAAAGAAAAAAAACAGATCTGAAAGGAAGAGCAGGAGAAGAATGTGTGCAGCGAAGTGAGGAAGAAGAAGTGGCCATGTCAGTGGAACGCAACTGAGATGCGCAACCGCAGCGCAACGAAACCTCTTCGCGTGGCGTCCTTTATTATCATTATCATTATTTTCTTTTCCACTGGGAAATTGCAGCGAGTGCTTCGATGCTGAGGAAACAAAAATACACATCAAAAATACAAGAGTCCTGCAAAGCACCAAACATTGAACGCTTTATTTGTCTTCGAAGGCAACGCCTGCGCTCATCCCGACTCGCTTCCCACTTTCTCTCTCTCTCTGTGTGGAACTGCTAGGTGCATCCATCGCTGCGTCCTTGCGACACCATATTGTATGAAGCCAACAACAAAGAACCGAAATATCGTCGAGTTGTTTGACGTTACGCCGCAGAAGTCAGCAAATGCTTGCGATCGTTAATCAGTTCCATGACGCTCTGATTGCTGAGCACGGTGTCGCCGCGCGCGGGCTGCCGCGACGAAGCGCTCAGCGCCGGTGCCGGCGCTGTCGTCGAGAGAGCGGATGAAAAGCTCGGCTGAAGGGAACTCGATGGAACGAATGGCGCTCCGGCACCGGCGCCGATGCCGCGCCGCTTCAGCTCCTCCAAGCGCTGCCACTGTGATTCTAGCCTCGCCAGCTCGTGCCGCAGAGACAGAGGTGCGGAGGTGGGCGACGCCGGCGACGCTGCTTGTGATGGCGGTCGTGTTGGGGCAGCGGCGTAGCGTTGCTCGGACGGTGGTATGCGCCGCGGCTGTGGATAGCCTAGGTTGCCGCCGTCATCATCTTCAGACCGACACTCTGGTGTGGCCGGGTGCTTCCGCGGTGGCCCGCTGCCTGTCAGTTCTTCGTCACCTTTTACGGGGGACAGCAGTACCTCTTCGTAGCGATGCCGCAGGCGGTGATAGAGATCTTCTATGCGGGCCAAATAGGCCTCCGCCGTCGACAGCACACGTTGCACGCGACGGTCTTCTTCCTCCGTCACCTCTGCTCCTCCGTCTTCTCCTGCCGCTACTACTTTGTTTGCATCGGTGTAGATTTGAACTGCTGAATCGGGCGGTGCGGCATGTCGTTGTCGGCTGAAGGGCACTGCGTTTGCAGAGTGGATTTCGTGCCGCGGTCGATGCTCTTCGTGGAGAGACTCCGTGCGCTCGCTGGAGGGCAGCGCGCGGCGACGCACCGGTCGCACCGGCGGTGATACCGTGGTGTGCAACGGACCAGTTTGTGCGTGTTTTACCTGTTTGCCGCGTTGGGCCGCAGCAGACGTCGCAGAGGCTGCAGTGGAGTCTGCAGTCGTCTGGGTCGACGAGTTGGTGCGATTACCTGTACTGTTGTTGCCGCGGCTGCCGCCGGTGCCTCCGCGCGGGATCGGCGTGGGCGTCTCTACCGACCCGACCGGGGCGGCAAACCTTTTCGGCTGCTGCTGATGTCGATGTGGCGGGGTGTGCGGTGCGGCCCATTCTCGCCGCGGAGGCGAATACGAAGACGTGCTGGAAGATGACTCCCTGTCACTATCTCCGCTGTCGCTGTCGCTCTCACTGTCACGGCTGCCCGATGAGCTGCGTGGCTTATTGAAAGGTGGAAAGCTTGGCAGCCCCATCGCCTGTAAAAACCACCACGGAGGAAGCGGAGGTGGAGGGAAAAGATCGAGGTTGTGGTGACTGCCCGGGTGTTGGGATGGCGGCAAATCTGCAGTAGGTTGTGGAGGCAATGTACGCGGTGGCATGGGGAAGGTGGAGGGCAGAGGGAGCTGCTCCGGTGCGGGCCAGGGCAAACCAAGCGAGGGAGACGAGGCGCGTGCCGCTGCCGCTGTCGTTGTCTTCTTGATGGCGTTGGGCAGATCCTGATTGAATCGCTGCTGGTGCTGCGGATGAGCTGTGAGATGTGCGTATGGGTAGGTTGGCGCGTAGCCATCGTTCACGTCAGCAACGTACAGAGCGGGAAGGCCATGGATGGGCGGAGGCGGGATCCAAGGAATGTTGGGCAGGGAAAAGGGAAAGGTCCCTTGGCGACTGCAAGGAGGAGGAGGATCTGTGCTACGGCGTCGTGGAGCCGAGCGTTGCCTTTTATCCTTCCTCCCTGCGTAACTCTCGTCACGCTCGGATGTGTGCTGCGCTACGGCTGCTGCTGCTGCGGTGGGTGCGGCGTAGGGGAATGGCGGAGGAAACGGGTAGCTCCATGGGTAGTTCGCCGCGCCTGCTTCCGGCGTCGGCTGCGAGACAGAACGCCGGCTCTGGCTGTGGCTGTCACTCCGGCTCTTACTTGTGCCACCGCTGCTGCTGGTGGTGGTCGTCTTGGTGCCCTGACTTGGCGGAGGGGAAGGGGCAGAGGGAATGGACGAAGGAAGCTCTTGAAAACCTTCACTCCCCTCCGCCGCCTCCGCCATGTGTGCTCGGTGGTGTTGAAATGCTGGCGGAGCTCTTCCAGGCACGGCGGCGTCGTGGCGGCTAGTGGTGGCCGTGGTGGAATGCGAGCTCTGCGACCGAGACCCCGAGAAGCGAATGGCTGAGCTCATCCTATCTAAATACTTCTAAAAAAAAGGGGGAAGAGGGGAAGAAGTGTATTGGATCTAACAGAAAAGAGTTGTAACAGCGCCGGTTTCTCCGGCTAATCTAAGTAGAATAATATTGATAATGATAATAACACCAAGAAAACAACAGTTTTAAGACACCTGTTTCTACCAACTGTATGACCGTACCGTGTGGAGAAGGTGACGATGGTGTACGATGAGCGATGCTGCCGAGTTGTCTCTATGCATTGAAGAAGAAGAAAGGAGAGGAAAGAGGAGGAGAGAAGCAACCACCGATAAGTGCAGACGAGACCAAGGTGTGAGGAAAAAAACAAAGATTGTCTTTTTCATAACGGGCTAGGTCATCTTTACCCGCGACACCTGCAAGCAGTTGCTTCAAAATAACGCCTTACGTCGTGGGCCGAAAGCCGCAGAAGAACCCAAATTCCTCACGCCTTCGTCGCGGTTTTGCAGTGATGACCACCACGGTGACGTCGCTTTTCTCTCACTCTCTTGGTGAAAGAGTTGCTTTCATGTTTTTGCGCATACGAATGTGCGGTCAGGGAACGGCTGGAAGCTGGCACGCGCAGACGCGTGTGTGAGTGCGTGGGTGCACAGAGAGCGTAAAAGCGCTGTGATCCACGGAGGGACACGACAACAACAAAAAACCCCAACACAAAACCGCACGAGCCTCCCTTAAATGACAACAATAATAAGAAACGCCACTGGACCGCTGCCCCCCCCCCCTCCCCCTCCTACAATTCCAGCGGTGCCGACTAACAGCTTACGGAAGTATGTGAAGACGAACAGCAAAAGCGACTCCTGCATTCATACATTTCTTTATTAAATAAGCGAGTGATGTCCGCTACGCGGTGTTCCCTGCGCTACTTGGGTACAGCAAGAGAGCAATAAGAAAAACCGTGAGAGAGTGGACGTCGTCGCAACCGAGCCACACCTTCGTACACGCGAAACCCAAACTCGCTTCCAGATCAACATTGAAAGACACTGGATCGACTTACCCCTCCTTCGTTTCCGGTGCGAGTGGGTTCTCCACCATGTGCCGGGCGCAGAGGTCCGCCATCATCGCCTCGCCCTCCGCCACGCCAGCCGCGTCGTCGTGTCTGCGGCACCAGCTGACGTACTTGCGGCACGTCGTCACGGCCTGCGCCACATCGCCGATGCCCTCAAAGCACGTTAGGATCGACTGCAGCGTCGACTTGACCAGATTGAAGTCGCTCTCATCGATGTGCAGGTTTAATCCCTCGATCAGGATGTCCAGCGCCTTCGCAAAGCGCTCCTTCGCCTCCGCCGTCTCGCCCTTCGCGGCCAGTGCACTGCCCTGTAGCGTGATGCTCTGACCAATGCCGGTGAGGACCGAGCGACGGAGGTTCACCGCGGCGACGGCCTGCATCGGCATGGCGGACTTCGCGTCCACGTCAATCCACTTCAGCACCTTCTGCAGCAGCTCCTCTGCCTCCGCCCCTTCACCTTGCTTGCACAGTGTAAAGCCAATGAACACCTCAATCTCTGCCACCTGCGCCTTGTCCTGCAGCTCGGGTTTTACGCCCTGCAGCAGCGAGCTGCGGGCCCGCTCCGCGCAGCGCAGGGCGTCGTCGTACTGCTGCAGATTGTAGTGCGCCTGCGAGGCCTCCATGCAGAGAAGGCATTCACACTGGATGGGCGCGTTCGCAGCGCCAATCTCCTCTAGCATCTGCAGACCCGTCTCGACGTGCTCGAGGAGAACCTTGTAGCTGCCCGCAGCACGAGCCGCGTCCACCTCGGCCGACAGCGCGTTCCACTTCGCCATGTTCGCCAAATCACGCTGCACCACGTCGTCGTTCAGTGTAAACGCCTCCACATTCACAGCGGACGCCGGCGCTGCGGACGGCGCTGCGGCGTATGTGGCGACGTCTGGACCGGTGCTGCTGCCGCTGTCCGTTTTGTTGACGTTGCCGCTGCAGTGGCGTCGTGCGAAGTGCAGGTGGGAAGAGGAGACCGTGAGAGACGCCACGGACAGCGGTGTTTGTGTCATCAGAGTGGTGCATCCAAGCACTCCCGCCGCGGGCCGGCGCATGGACGAGATAAGGACGCGCTTTGCAAACATTGCGCGGGATGTGTGTGTTTGCGTGCGTGGCTTGACTCGCAGAAGCAGCTACGATAATTAAAGAAGGGCCTTCGCTTTCGGTGGTTTCTACAGTGAAAACGGCGAGGAAGCACGTGAGATGAACCGACGGGAGGGAGAGGGAAGGGGGGAGAGGAAGGGAAGTGAGGAGTGGGAGAGTACACATGCGTACAGCAGATGAAAGAGAAAAATGCTGCACCGTGTGGATCCACGCCCTCCAACGCATTTGCAGCTGACACTCAAAGCATCGCCTTTGCCATTGGTATTGTTGTCGCTGCGTGCGTGAGAGGGGAGCGGGGCCAACGAGAGGGGGTGAAGACGCATCTGTCGCCCTTTTGGTCTTCAAAACTGCCGCTGATAAAAACAAAAACAAACTGCGTTTAACGTGGTGACCGACGTGGTGAACTTCGTAAAGATCAGAAAAGTCAGGTGGAAGACAACGGCGGTGCTCTACGATAAATCCAGCAAAACAAAAAGAAGAAGAAAGCTACAAAGATCGACGCAGATGCAGAACTGGTACAAGTGAAAGAAGGAAACAACAGTCTTATCCGTGCCTCCGCCGAACGTGCCGACTTCATGCGAAAAGGACGGAGCACATCGACGAAGTAGCTGAATCTGAAGGAGTGTGAAGTAGAAGCAATCAATACAAATATATATGTTATGAAGAGTCAGTTCTTTCTTCTTCAAAAAGTGAAGGTACAATACAAATAGGTGAGGATGGTTCATGTACAAGGAAGTTCGTCTCTCATTCCGCTGACTTCTAGGAAAAAGGAAAAAATCAAAAAAAAAAATGGTGCGCGATGATGAAAACCAAGAAGCGAGTAAAGCAAGCACCTCACAGCACCACACAACCACATATCCCACAGCAACCACACCAACGAAGCAGCAGTTACACGTCATCAACGGAAGAGCACGACGGGAAGTACACCATGCAGACATCCAAGATAAGAAAGTGAGCGAAAAGAGGCGTTTCTGTTCAGTAGAAGGCGTTCTTGACTTCACCGTTCGAAGATGGAATCATCACAGACCGAGTTTTCACTTTTCTCTACTGCAGCCTCCTCGCGGCTCCCTTCACCGCTACAGCAGAAAGTGCTGCTGCCACGCGCTCACCTCCTCCGCGTATTGCAGCAGCTCCGCCCGAGTCCGGTGGTCCGCCTCGCGCTTCAGCGCCTCACACAACGCGTTGCTGCGCTGCAGTGAAGTCGCGTAGTAATCGGCGAGCTGTGCGGTGTGGCGTGACATGACCCGTGCGGGTACCTGCGCCTCGTTCGCCGCCGCCTCCATCAGCGTCGCGTAGGCCGCACGGTAGCGCTCGTTCTCGTCCCGCACGCGCCGCAGCAGATCCGTCTTCTCCGCCTTCGCTGTCTTCATCGACGCTTTCAACGAGCCCCGCATGGCGTTCATCTGCACATCATACTCGTGCCGCATGCGTCGCCGCAGCAGCTGCTGCATGTCGCCGAGATAGCGAGCCGCGCGCAGCCGCTCGATTTTGCGGTCACGCTGCACCGCCTCGCTGTGCTGCTGCGGGCGGTGCATGAAGAAGTCGCGCTCTTGGCGAGTGAGGGGCGGTTCGACCGCCAGGCGGTGATGCCGTGCGAGTTGCCGCGGTGGTGAATGCTGCTGTTGTTGCTGCGGTGATATGTTCGCCCTCGTGTAAGGCAGTGGTGGAGGGTGTTGGGTTGGCGTAGCCGTTTGTGCTGAGGCCGTCTGCCCTTCTGCCGTCACAGCAGCACCAGTGGGAAGAGGACCCGCCTCCTCGCCTGCGTGCACGCCACCATCCTCCTGTCGGTCCTTTGCAGTGTCTTTCTCAGGCGGATTGCGATGCAGGCGAGAGCCGTAGCGCTCTTTTTCCGCTGCTGCTGTCGCTGCTGCCTTGGGCGGTGAGAGCGGCTGCGCTACAAAAGCCTGCCGATGACATCCCTCTTGCGCGTCCAGGGCCTCCCCCAGACGCTGACAGCGACGTACGATGTCGTGGGCGTGATGCTGTACGTACTGCGCATCCGTCGTGGGCCTGCGTGCCCGGCCTGCGGGGGTCGGCGACGCTTTATTTCCTTTCGCTGCTGCTGCTGCTGCGGCGGCGGGCTGCTGGGCCGCCGGCTTGCGGTTCGCCGTGGCGTCCCCCACGGCGCCGCCCTTCTGTACCTCACGCGGACCGGCGTGCAGCGGAGACGACGACGACGTGGTGGCGGTGGTGGTGATCGACGGAGCTGCCGGATCCGATCGCGTCGGTCGGCCGCGGTGGACCGGGTCTCCCTTGGCGTATCGCACCTCCGACGACGGCGTCGTCACGACGGAGTGGAGCACCGCGTTGCCTTCTTCGCTTTTCGGGGTATTCAGTGCGGGGTAGACAAGGTCGCGGTACCACTCCGCCACCAGCTCATCCGTTGGGATGGCGGAGGAGTCGAGGTAGTAGCTGACGGACGAGGGCGACTCCTCACCGTCGTGCGGGTTCATCATTCCCGCCGCAGCAGCCGCAGCAGCATCTGTAATATTGGGGTTCACGTGTTGCTGCGGTGACGCTTGCGTGCCACCGCCAGACGGGTCGAACAACCCGCCGTTTAACGGAGGAGCCCGTCCGACGTAGAAGTCATTCAGGCTGTGGCGGTGATGCTGGTTCGCCGCGAGGGCAACCAGGACGGGATTCGCAAAAGGGTAGCCGGCAGCTCTGTCTCCCATCGCTGGATACTGCTGTGGTGGTGAAGGCTGCTGCTGCAGAGCCGCGTGGCTCGGCATCACCTCGGCCACCGTGTAGCCCATAGGCACGTAGGCGCCACTGCTGTTTCGAGCAAGACCGCAGTCTTCGCCCGCCCCAGCACCGTCGTTGCTGGGGATCAGCGCGGGAACGCCCTGCGTGGCCTGATTGGCGGCTTGCGCAGAGGTCATCGTGTCCGCGTTCACGGGTGCGGCAGCCCCAGCAGTAGCAAGATAGGGAGCTCCCACCGATAGCCCGCTTTGATGCTGCTGTAGCTGCTGCTGTCGCCGCATATCCTCGGCTACCTGCACAAACACCATAATGAGGCGGCTAATGTGGTCCTCATTCAGCTTCACCACCTCCTCTGCCGCAATGCCCTCTAGCGAGTAGGGGTGCTGCCGGAGCTGCTCCAGCACGAGCGTCACGTTGCGCCGCCGCTTCTCGGCCGTGTTGGGCGAGCGGTCGATGCCGGCGATGCTGCAGTCAAAGAGACGCTGATAGAGCAGCACGAAGAAGCTCGAGGTGCACTGACGAATGCTTGTGACCTTATTGCCGATGGCGCAGAAGGTGAGGAGATCGTTGGCGTGGGCGAGGATCTGCTGGCGCTGCACCTCCTTTGCGTAGGCCGCCACCTCGTCTTCGGGCGGCAGCGCGGGCGACAGCGTTGATGAAGGCGCCGGTGGCGGAAACGCAGTGGGCGGCGTGGCAAAGGCACCACTGACGTTGCTGTTCGTCACCGCCGCCGCTGCAGCAGCCGCCTTCGACGATGCCATCACAGCCGTATTAGCGTGGTACGGATGGCTATTGTTGTCGCCCATCACATAACCCACCTCCGCAGCGGCTGACGCAGACGCGGCGGCGGCTTGAATGCTGACGGAGGAAACCGGATTCGCCTTGCGCGCCGCACGTGGCGGCCGAGTGCCGGCGTCTGCAGCTTTCCCGGCTGAGGAGGCCGGTAGAACGACAGCTGCTGCAGCCACCGCTGACTGACCACCACCACCACCACGATCGCCATCACCACCGTCACTGCCTGATGTAGAAAGGGAGGAGGGCGTGGGTGGCGAAGAGGACGACGAAGAATTTGTGTTGTGCTGCGTGGCCGGCGTTCTGCGTAGAGGGACAGTGAAGGACGGACGCTGCAGTGCCGGGGCCGGCGTTGCTGAGGAAGCTGTAAAAGGCATCAACGACTTTTGAACTGCGACACGCAAGGAGGCAGACGAGGAGGAGGACGTGGATGTTGCTTGGGTGCGTGCAGCGTGCGGGTTTGTGTAGTTGGCCTGTTGAGGCGGTCGACGTCCGCCGGTGCCGCTACCGCCGCTGCTGCCGCTGCTGCTACCGACAGCAATGGGCATTGCACTTGGCAGACGTAGAAAGAAAGAAACAACTACGAAAGGGTACAGGAGTGGCTACGTCCGTCTGGGTCTATGAAGAAGTAGCCGTTGATATATCAAATGGAAGCGAAGACGCGTCAGGTCAAATGCAAAGCCGGTTGGTTAGAAACCTCCCCCCTTCCGGAACAAACGAAGATCCAAAATGAGGTTGTGCTGAGGAGCACGGAAGAGGACAGAGTGTACTTCGTCGAAGAGCACTGCAAATCAGCGTCTCTTTCTTTTCCCTTTTAAATAACGCAAGAAGACGTACCGCTCTCTCTTGCTCTCGGTGTATATGCTTGCCGATGTTGATTCTACCACCAACTTCGCCAAATAGAGAAGCGATAGGGGGGAAGGTAGAAAGCGTTGTGCCCGCGTGTGTGTGGTGGCAATTACATCTTCGCAAGTGCGCGGCGCCCAGTAAAAGAATGGTATTCGTTATTATTGATGGTGGAGAGAAGAAATCGCAAAGGGGTTGCAAGAGGGAAACGGGAGGGGTCAAAACACGGAAAAACTGCTCCATGAAACACAAACAAAGCGGACATATACACTTTCGAAAATAGATAAAGCACCCGCTCCGAAAGCGACGAAGACTCCTTCTCTGGCACAGTGGCAGCCGAATACGACGCCGAAAAAACAGAAGAGAAGAAGAAAGCGGATGCGCAGTTCACCTTGACTCATCGGCTTAACGTCTTGGAGAGTATCGCGATGGTGTGATGTGCGGCTCGCTTGCCACGCATCTGCCCTCGCCCCTCCCCTCGCTCGCTCTCTTCGTACTCGTGTACCGGCAGAGGAGGTCATCGCACCTCCGCCTCGCGGTGAAGAATTTAGCAATGAAATGTTTTCTGTTTTTTCTTTTTGTAGGTCGCTACCGTTCCACATCACAAAGCACGCATGCTCATACCGGTGCCGCTGTGTACATCTGACGACACCTCCGAAAGGAGAAGAGGGGAGGGAGGGGGGAGGAAAGCGTAGGCAACACAAAGGCAAAACAAGAGCAAAGATATACTAAAAAAATTGTGGTTGTTGTTGTGTTAGTTACATCAACGAAGGTAAGGAGTCTTTCGGCGACTCCTTCTTCCTCCTCTGTCAGCACAAAACGTGTGCCAGCACATCGAAAAGCAGGGAGAAAGCGCAAAGGGAAGATAAAACAGAAGGGAGGGAGGCCGCAACGACATCACGGGTGGAAAGGCGTCTGTGGAAAACAAAACATCATCAACACACGCACACACGCACGCACGCACATGGTGATAAGATAGAAGATAAAAAAAAATGAAATCCGAAAAAAAACCGAAGACTGCTGCACTCCATCAAGGGTTGTATGAAAGAAGAAGGCCCAAGATGAAAGAGAAAGAAACGCGCGGCATTTGATATATATATATATATATATGAATATGCACGAGTAAGCCTCACCAAAATAAAAGGACACGAAAACTATCGCCATCATCACCCGAAACGGTGATGCGCAGGGGCGGTGGTGCGCCATCCCACCAAACGAATCATGTACACTGCAAATACAAACATGTAAACATAGATGTGCAACGGTGGGTGGGTGGCACTGCAGTAAGTCAAAGAAAGGCGATGAAGACGGAAAGAGAAAGGAAGGAAGAAAGGTGGCGCCTACCATGCGATTTCACGTGTGCACCCGTCGCGCCATGACGAGTGAGCATCAAACAGCAGCCAAAAATAGGGTGATGAGAGAGAGAAAGAGACAGAGAGGAGGGGCTCCACTGGTGAGAACAACACAAACATCAAAAGTAGGAGGAAAATCAAAGTAGACCAATAAACAAGAGAAAGGGAGGAGCCGTGGCTATGTACATACATATGCGTTTCTCTCTCTCTCTGTGTGTATACATATAAAGAGAACAGACAAAAAGAAGAGCCGGTGGTGCTCTCGCGCCGCCCGCGCCTCGGCACTTCGCGGGCCACCGGTTTTTTTATATTAGAAGATCCGCACCAAACAAAAAGAGAAAAACAAACAAAGAAAGATGCAGCCGTCACTTGCTTGCATGGGCGGCCTCTGATGCAGACGCAGAGGTCAGAAGCCCCGCAACGGTGCACGCCGATTTCGCGGGTCCTCGCCCGGGTCCAGCCACGGCCGCCCCACCGGCGTTGCCGGCGCCGCTGATCTTCGCTGCGTTGACGACGGAGTGCGAGATGGGCCGCGGGAGTCGTCTCGCGTGGGCTGCGCTGGCACTTGTCGGGGGACTTTTCGAGTTCGCCGCCTTCGGCATCCCAGCCGCGGAGGAGTGCTGCGAGGAAGACGCCGATGTAGAGGCGGATGAGAGCGGTGGCGGCGGTCGAAGCGCGAGGGGAGGATGTTCGTTGTGAGTCGCGTCGGCGCTGTTCAGCGACGCACAGAGAGAAGCATCGTCGATCGGGCTATTGCGACTGCTCGCCACGGTTACCGCCGTCCCCGCTGGCTGCACCGTCAACGGCACAAATCGGTGGTTGGAGGAAGACGAGGCGGCCGAGAAAACGGCGGACGTCGCCGTGGATAAGGTGGCAGAAGTCCGTTTGGACCGTTGGGGGGGCTCCCCAGGCCGCGCGGAGAGCGAGTCTTTCTCCTCTTTCTTCGTGGCTGAGTGCAGCGGCGCATCGCGCAGCGCGCGTCGGACGGGCGGAGACGACGGCCATTCCGGCCGGGCCTCGCATCGGTCGTAGCGGTTGCGGAACCAGTGCTGCATCCACTGCGCGACGACACCCGAGTCGGCGCCGTCGGGTGCGGAGGAGAGCGGCTGCGCCATGGCAAGGTCCTGCACCATTTCCGCAAACAGCTGTGGCAGCTGATGCGCCTGGGCGTAGTCGGACTGCAGTGCCTCGACGCGAAACAGAAAGGCCGTGGCGGAGGCAAAGGGTGCTTCCGTTGCGGCGCAGGGAGCCGGGAGGACGCGTGCGTCTTCCGTGGAGAGGTCCACGGCGAGGGCAGCCGGCGACGTCAGCGCATCAACCCCGCTGTCTCGGTCAGCTTTCATCGACGGCTGAGCAACAGAGACCGGCGCGTTGACCTCCGTCCTACAGCACGGCGGTTCGGGTGCGGGCTGCGACGACGACAGCCGAGAAGGAAACAGCGACGGGCACTTCCCGGGAGCCACCGCGCCTGCACGTGCTGGTGTGTACGAGCCCGCACGGCTATGCCCGGCATCCACCACGTGGGTCTCCACCTGCTTCAGCGCCACGTCTCCATTTGGCACTAATGCCCGCGGGGAGGACTCCGCTCTCCCCTCACGCGAGTCCTTCGACTGCCTGTGTGCTTTTCGCTCCCGCACCTCTGTTGCGGTTCGCGTGGTAGTCAGATGTCGTGTGAGGGGTTTGCTGCGCCGCCAGCACAGCTCCACTGGCCAGGGCCGGTGCACCGGCAAGGCCGCGAGGTGCGGCGGGTGGGGGTGCGCCGTACCCATGCGCCACAGCGTCGCGGAGGACGGCACACCGTTATTACGGCTGTGGCTGCTGCCGCAGCTGGTGCTGCTGTTGGTCGGTGTAAAGCCGATGAGAGGTGGCACGACGCCTACGCGCGACACCCCAGGAGTGGCGTGGCTGAGCGAAACATCGGTGGCCGCATCGGCCCACGCAGAGGACCGCAATGTGCTTCGTGGGTGCGGCGGACGCCCTTCTCCGCGTGCCGTTTCGAAAAAGCGGCATTCGCGCTGGGTGGTGGGGGAGGCGGAAGAAGAGGGTGAGGCGGAAACCGACAGCAGCGGAGCAAGACGCGGAGGTGGGGAGAGGGCGACGGAGGAGAGGCCCCCGCCGCTACCGCTGCTGCCGTCACCGCCGGTGCCTGCTTTACGACGACCACCCTGCGATAGCGAAGGCTTCGCTGGGGACGTCTTCCACATCGCTTATCCAGCTGCCTCCGCGCGATGTATACATATATATATATAAACGACCTACTCAACTTGGTCGCACAAACCAGCGACTATTCCTCTTAAGAGTAATAATAATAAAATACACCTTCCCTTGGGGTGTAGGCGGTTGTTTTGGGATTCCTCTCTTCTTCTTTTCTTAGAAAAACAAAATATCCGTAAAGAGACGAAAGCAGATCAAAATGCAATACAACTCCTCAGAGTAAAGGAAGAGAACTCGGGGGTGCCACGCAAGCGCTATCGCATGATCGCGTGCGATCACATATATGAGGCAAAAGAAAAAGAAGAAATGAGAAAGAAATGAGAAAGAAAAAAAAGAACTGCTGTTTTGCTTCACGAGTCACTTCTAGAACAAGTGCTTCTGTTGATGTGGCTACTCTTTGCTTTGCCGTGACATTGGGTACGGGTGCAACCGGTTCGTTGTCGAATAATAGTAATAATAAAGAAGAGGTGAGGTGAGGTGAGGTAGAGAGAACGGGAAAAGGTGCAAGGGAAGGTCGAATGAACGGGCTACGGTGATGACGTGTTTTGCCACACACAGGCCTCGAGAGAAAAGGCATACACAGAAAGGCGATTGCAGCTGTCTCCGTGGTGGAGCTGCACGACACCGGGCAACGACACACACACAGAGAAAGAGAGAGTGAGTGAGAGCGTGAAGTCGTTGAAATCAAATGTTTCGCTTTCACTCGGGAAAAGAGAAAAAAATAATAAGAAGTACAGCACGCAAGAATGCTTGCAGGTTCATCTCTTTCCCACATAAGACCTCCGCGCACCTCCTGTGGCTGAAGATGCTTAGGCATCTTCCACGCGCATGTCAGTGCTGAACCTTCTTTTGTTTTGTTGCTTGTTTCTTTCCCTTAAAGCTGTGTAGCGAAAGCGAAGCGCGCTGCGACGGCACAACACACTGTGCTCCTCCAGAGTGAGAAAACAACAACAAAGAATCCGCCTCCGCCACCACCACAGAAAACAAAAGTTCTCACCGTACGCCGTAGCTGAAGTTCTGCAGCTGCTTCTCATGCAACGCATCGAACACGCTCGTCTTCTTCGACCACATCTTACCCCGGCTGCGGCGCATCTCGGCCAGTTTGTTCGCCTTATCCGCGTCCAGCACACGGCGCTGCACCTGCCGCCCAATCGGCTCCTGCTCCCGATCGAACTCCACGCCGGAGGTGCCGACGTTGCGCGGCCGCTCCGTGCGGCGCCCGAAGTTCTCGAGCAGGTAATCAAGGGTACTCTCTTCGTGCGCCTCACCCGCGAACCGGCTCGCCCACAGACGGCGCTTCTTGTCCAAGATAGCGTCCTCGATGTGACGGTAGACAACAAAGGCGTCCCGCCCCATCACCTGCAGCCGCTCCACGTCCGTCAGACACCGCGCCAGGTCCGCCCCCCACGTTGTCTCGACGCAGATGCGGCGCAGGTCCGTCAAGTAGCACAGCACCGCCGCGGTGATCGTCTTGTCCGGGGTGTACATGAAATCGTGAAAGCCGCACTTCTCCTCAAAGAAGGCGCGGACCCGCTCCGGGCTGTGTCGCGTGTTCTGCAGCAGGCGAGCTGCATCGATCTTCTCGTCCAGCTCCGCCTGTACGGGATGCAGCGCGTCGGTGACCTCCTCCCAGGAGGTTTTGTCCTCCGCCAGCGCCCGCCAGCGCGGGTCGGCGCTGAGGTAAAACATCGCTCGCACGTCGGCTGGGGTCAACTCAACCGCGTCGTGCGCTACGGGCGTGCCGGCCTTCATTTTCAGCTCCGTGTAAAGCCCCGCCACCTCCTTGTTGGGGATGTCCGCCAACGTGGTGAGGGAGCCGTGGCCAGGACTCAGAAAGACATCCGCAAACGGCGTCGTGTCGGGCTCGATGAACTCGCTGTACCGCTCCTTGATCTGCTCATGGGTGTTGAAGGGCAGCACGTCCAGCTCCGTCACGTCGACGCCGTCGGGATCGACGAAGGGGTTGTGCTCAAAGCGCGGGAGGTAGTCCGCCCGGGCCCCGTCGATGAAGCCGATCGGCCCCCAGCGATCCCACAGGTAGTTCGGCTCGAGCCCGAGCTCCTTGCGGCGCACGGCGCGCTCGAGGTCCATCAGGGCGTGCCGCATCGCCTGCGACACGACGAGGGTGCCGACCTGCAGCCCGTTGTCCTCCCAGCAGTGTGCGCGCAGCGTGTTCTTGTCATAAAACGGCTTCGTAATGCCAATGCAGCGCCAGTAGCGCGCCTCTCGTGTGTAGTGCAGCGCCGCATCGAGGAAGTCCTTGCTGTACAGGTCGCGGTTGCCTTGGATCGTCGCGTCGTGCAGCAGCATGCCCACCAGCTCCGGCGTGTCGAACACCTTCCAAATCATCTTCGTTTCCATGTTGTAAAAGCGGTAGCTGAGACGCTCGTGCTCGCGCTGGAAGCGGTCTTCCTGCTGGTCATAGGCGCGAAACCAGTACTTCTGCGGCATGTATGTGCGGTCTGAGAGCTCCGTGCGGTTGCGATCGAGGTAAGAGCGCACGGCGATGCGCTTCCCTACGGTGTACTTCTTCGGCACTAAGTTGAAGCTGCCGGGCGTGTAGTGGATGACCTTGCCAGGCGTGGCGGCCTGCAAGAGCACGGCGCTGCGTCGAGCCGCGAACATGACGATCCAGCGGCGTTGGCGACCCTTCTTGTTGCTGCTGCTTGTGATGATCTTCCTTCCGTCGCTTTCCTCGAGGCGACTTCGCACAGGAAACAAACAAACAAAACCTCCGAATACGAGCAGCGGCTGCGGCGTACGCCGATCCACACAGCTACTGGAATTGACGACGTCAGCCAACGGAACTGCTGCAACAGAAGAAGAGGAGAGGCGGAGAGAAGAGAAGGGGGAGGCGCGATGGTAAGTATCGAAGTGAGACGATGCGCCGGGACGCGCCCAGCGAGGACAACTACGCGACGGACCTGGCTTTCCTGTAGACAACAACTTCGGTGATGAGAGTGGGCAGGATCCGCGCTAACACGAGTGTAGAAACACCGGCGCACCCAAGAGCAACGAGCACCGCGCATGCCGGCACCGGTATGGAACGCGCCGTCAACGCGAGATTCGCCACGGCCATCAAGCAACAGACGAAATAATGGCATCCTTCACCTCTTTGCTTGCTAGTGTCGTTTGCTTGGTTGGTTTGAAATGCGCAAAACAAAGCTTGCAGCAGTAACATCAAACGTGTGCATCCCCCGCACACAGCGCCGCCATCGTGGAGGTTTTCCCTTTTCCTTTTCTTCTTACAAACAGGTACGTCTATTTATCGAGCAGCAGGAGAAAAGAAAAAGATAAGAAAAGGAACAAAGATGAAGAGTAAGGTTAGCGAGACGAAAGGCGCCTCCCAAGCCGCGCTGACGACGTGGAGGAAAGAGAGAGAGAGGATCGAAAGAAGAACTAAGAAGGGAAAATAATACTGATGTTGATCAGATGAGCCGCGGAAGAAAACATCAAACAACACAACAATTAAATAATCCGACGCGTACACTCCAGTGTTATTCGTCCGCGATTAAGTGCTTCACGACGCTGTAGAGGAAGCCAGTGTGAGAAAGGAAGACACAAGAACGAACACGTGTGGAAAGGCGGCAAAACTGTCTTAATTTGACCTCGCGCGTGCTTTCTGTTCGTTCCCTTCTTTTTCCATCTCCTGTTCTAACTCTTGTTATTATTAATAGTGCGCGTGCGTGTGCGTGTGCGTACGTACGCGATTCTGGCCCACGTCGAGGGTGTATATATATATATATATTTATGTAAGAAGATAAGCTAAGAAAATAACACACGTCGTTAGCTGAACATCACCTGACCGAAAGAAATTCGAAACAAACAGGAGAAACCAAAGGGAAAAGCACAAGTCGATGAAAAGGGAAAAGAAAAGCAAACAACGGCACTTAGCAAAAGCCGAGATTGCGAGAGGGCGACGAAGTGCACAACACTGCCCTCTCGCTTCCTCTGCATGCGTGCGCTCTCGCGGAGGTTCGCGTGCGGATGCACGTTCGAACTGCGAAGAAGAAAAGAAGCGGAAAAAAGAAAACGCTCTCGCGGTTTACATCGGCGTACAAGTACAATGCGGCGGCGTAACAGCCCCCAACGGTTCTAGCTCTCAGCTTCTCTTTTCCCCCGCTGATCTTACTGTTCGTGTCCCCTTCCGTGTTGTCTGCTTTCGCCGCACACGTCCTTCCCTGACCTTCGCCGGCAAAACAAGCCCGCCATCATCACGCATGCGGGAAGTCGTCATCCTCGCAGAGCAGCCGCTGCAACTGACCACCGTCGCCCGCGCTCAGCTGACCTAGCGTCGTGGGCGACAAGACCGGGTGGAAGTGCGGCGCCGCCGACGCCGTCGGGCTCGGCCGCAGCCAGCTTAAAAAGCGCAGCGACGGACTCTTCAGCGGCGTCGTGGCGGACGTGGGTGACGCCGTCACGAATGCGGACGGCGGCTGCAGCAGCCCGTGGGAGACGAGCAGGGTGGACGCGGTCGGCGCCGAGACAGAAAGCCCGCGCTCTCCTTTGTTGTCCACCGCCACCGCCGCGCAGGGAGCCGTGAAACCTTCGCCGGCCGTGAAGGGAGACGTCGTTGCTGCTGCATTCGTCGCTCCGTAGGCCCACTCTGCGCTTGCCCCACCGCGACTGCCTGGCAGCAGCGACTCCTCCGCGGACGACTTCACCGCCGGGAAGCACGGGGCGGCCGATGCCGTCGAGGACGCGGCGTGGAGGTAGGGAAAGCCGCTGAGGAAGGCGATGGGAGTGATGGACGCGGGTGAGGTGACCCGGCTGCCCATGGCAGAGACGGAGCGGGAGGGCCACCGCAGATCGACGCTGGCGTAGCGGGAGAGGCCACCGCCGTCTGCGAGGACGACGCCGCTACCGCTGCCACCGCCGCGATCCAGTGACATGGCGGAGGCGCCGGCAGTGTCTGCTGCGGCCGCCTGAAGGGCCGCTGCCACCCGCACCTGCACGTGCACCTCGCGCTTCCTCAGAACCGCCGCGGCGGATTGCCAGTAGAGCCACTTTACCATCCGCTGAAAGACCTCTGCGAAGTCGACGGCGCCGTGGCTGCCCTGATGCAGACTGCGCGCTTCACGTAGGAGCGTCGTGACCGTCGGGTCCGGCAGCAGCACCGTCTGCTTTGAGATGGAGCACTGGAACGGAAACGCTGGACTGCGGATGCGGGCTTCTTTGCCGGCCTGCTGCTCCACGAGCACCGTCGTACCGGCGACGTGTTTGCGCAGACGCACCCGACGGCACTGCAGCTGCCGTGGCGCGACGACCAGCAGCGTGTTCTCCGGGCTGAAACGCGAGCACAGCGCGGTCAGTCGCGCCTCGGAGAACTCCCCCGGCACCCATTGGATGGGCACGTTGGCGAAGTCGGCCGATGGGACGGCGGCCGCGACGGCAGTCTCGTACATGCGACGGGCATCGTCGTCGTGAAAGCCGCTCGCGGCGTCTGCCGCGTCCACCGTCCCATTCGTTGCAGCGCGCTTTAAAGCACTTGGACCTCCCTTTCCTTCGTCGCTGCTGCAGCCGTCGTTCCACAAAAATGCGGCGACAAGCAGGAGTCGGCGAGCCAGCAGCGCATCCTGCGTGAAGATCACCACGCGGCTAAGGCGGCCGCGGTGCAGCCAGTACTCGTCCTCCTTGTCACCTGCGGGAGCCGTTGCCGTTGTTGCGGTTGAGGTGATCGTGGCTGAGGGAGCTCTAACTGGAGTAGCAGGAGCGACTGAAGGACGTGTAGACGTTGGTGGATGCGACGGGGGTGCAGCGGGCGATGACGCAGATGGTGCCGTCACAGCTGCGGCGGCGGTGGCGGTGGCGGAGTGCACGGAAGTGATGGCGGACGCAGCTGTGGAGGTCTGTTGACGCGACAGCCCCGATGCGTTCGCGAGGTCCCCTGTGCTGCTGCCGCTGCGGTGGTGGTCTCCCCCACCTCCCCCTCCAGCGGTGGTGTTGCTGAGGGCCACGGTGGCCGCGTGGGACGTCTCCGCCGACACCATGTACAGCTGCGCCGCACTCGGCGTTGCAGCAAACGCCGCGGCGGTGGGGTTCGCCGTTGTCCCGCCAATACTCGTATTGCTATCCCTGTTACTGTTTGGGTAGAGGACAGCGGTGGGGATGAGGGCGGAGAGAGAGGGCGTCGACAGGTTGCGCCCACGTGGCAGCCGCCCCGGTTGGTGTCGAACCTCCACGTCCACCGTCAGCGGGCTCAGCACCGGCGTGACGGAGGAGACGGTGCTGGCCGAGACGTGCGTGCGCAGATACGCGTCCTCGTCGTTGCCATCGCCGTCATCCGCCGCCGGCGAGTGCGGATGAAGTGCAATAAGCTGCGGAGCGTTGGCCGGTCTACTAAGCTGTATCCAGCCATCGCCTGTTCGTCCTCCTGCCTCCGCTGCGTCTGCCTTGTCATGGAGAGTGCTCTGCTCCGGTGCAGCGGCCACCGAATGAAAGTACGAAGCGTAGGCGGACAACCAGTCTGGTGTGGCGGTGGTAGCCGTAGCGCCATCGATCCCGGGAAGAGGTGCGTAAGCAGCAGCAGCTGCAGCAGCAACAGAGGTGTCACGCGAGTCTTCATTTCCGTCTACCACGGCGGCCGCGGAAGAGGGCGCATGGAGAAGCGGTGGGTCCGTCGAAACCACGTCCGCACGTGGATGCAGCCCCCGCCTGCCGCCGCCGCCGCCGCCACCTTCCTCGGCCAGCGACAAGAGGCCACATACAAATGCACTCGTAAAGCTTTCGCTGTACTCGCACAGGAACGCGGTGGCTTCGTACAGGATGTCCGACAGCGGCGGCCGCGGCGCCGACGTAACTGACGACGATGACGATGATGATGGCGTTCGCCATGCCGATGCTTCTTGTGCGGAGACGACGGACGTTGCGCTGCTGCCGTTCAACTTGAGCCACCGTATCGCCGCGCTCGCACCACCATCGCCGTTGTTGCTGCGCCTCTCTGCTGCGGTGGCTGCTGAGCGCGGTCCCTTCAAGCCGGCTCGTTTGCGGGCGGACGCAAAGGAAGATTGCATCAGCACGGGCACAACCCAGCCCGCCGTCGACGGCGCCAGCAGCGGCAACGGAAGGAGAAGGTGCAGCGCCGTGGCGAGCTCCGCCTTCACGCTTCGGTACGTGTCGGACGCCTCAGCGTGCATCTCCAGCCGCTTTGTAATGTCCTTTAACACCTGCTGCTGCTGCTGCGGGCCTTTTGACTTCTGTGTGGGTGAGAAGAGCAGCGCAAAGAAGCGCTGCACGGTGCGTATCGCAAACTCCGTTGTGCGATGCAACACGCTGCGCAGTACGTCGACGTGGTTGAGAAAAAACCGGAAGTGCACACCAGAGGGAGGGCAGTCCACCACGAGGGCGGCGGCGGCGTTGCGGGTCTGCATGGAATGCAGCATGCCGGTGTGGGAAGTGATGAGCGCGGCGAAGGGCACGGCTAAGATGAGGCGATAATAACGAAGGTCGCCCTTGGCGGAGCGCACCTCCTCCACGCGCATGTTCCACGGCGGGCCCTCCTGGGTAACCGCGGTCGGAGGCGCATCCATGGTTGTTGTTGTGGTGGTGGTAGCGGTGGTGTCCGCTGCTGTTGCTGCTGGAGGTGGCCCTGCCGGGACGGCTGCGGTGGGCGGAGGCGCGCGTTGGGTGGTAGTACTCGGCGGCGTCTGTTGCGTGAGGGCCGTCGGTGCGGTGGATGCTGCTGCTGTCGATGTGCGCGCAGGCGGAGGTGGAGACAGCGGTCCTTCCGCGTGAGCAAGACACGTGAGGGACGGAGGGACCTGACGCCGCACACTGGACGCATTTGGCTGTGGCGAGGCTGCGGCTGTGGGGGAGGGCGTTAATGCGCTTATCTTTGGCCGAGGCCGCCGTGCGCGCACGGGTGCTCGTCCGGGTGCTGCCGTCGCCTCCACCGCACTCTCAGACGCACGTGTCTTTCCACATTTATCTTGCTCTTCTACCTCTTCTCGTCGCCGTAGCGTCTCTTTGCTGCCCAGTTGTTCGCCAGCGTTGCCGTCGGCAGCACCGTTGCCTTTGTCGTCGTCTCCCGCTTCGTCCTCATCTTCCCACCTCACCACCGGGAACGTCGGTTGAAAGCGGACCGGCACGTCCGATGTAGCTGTATTCGTAACCAGCGCGTTTGCGGCGGTGGTGGTTGTGGTAGTGGTGGCCGTCGTTGTTGTTGTGTCTGGGCTGGAGGTGGTAGTGAGAGGTAACGTGTAGGACGAGAGATATCCCGTGGTGGGAGGAGGATTCGTACTGCTGCTTCCATTCTTGCCGCCGTTGTTGCTGAGGCTGTGGAGAGTGCTTTTATGGTTGTTATTAGCCGTGGATGCCGAGGGGCCAATGCTGGAGCGGCAGTCAGAACTGTACGTGGTCGGGTTGGCGAGGTCGCAGTCGTCGCAGAGGTTTGGTGTGGTGCCTGCCTCCCTTGCGGAGTTGCGTTTGCTGCCTGAGTCCTTCATCGCGTCTGTGTCTGCGTATGCGCTTTGCGGTCCTCGTGGGTCTTGACGCTGTTCTTCCTGCTGTTGCCGTCCTTGCGTAAAAGACGATGGGACAGCTGCGTCCGTCGCGGCGCTGTTTGCGGCGGTGCTGCGCAGAGGCGGGGAAGCGGGCCGCGGCGGACGTGCGCGCGAACTCAGCTTTCGCACCGGCAGCGGACAGACCCCACCGCCCATGCCGCCAAATGCGGTGGGAAAGGCCACCGTCTGAAGCGTTTGCTGCGGCACCTCATCCGTCGCAGCGGCCTCTGCGCGGAAGTCGCCGACGTGCAGAAATGCCGCCGCCGACGACGACGACGTACCGCCCCCGCCTCCTTTCCCGCTTCCGATTTCCGTCCTACTCGCCGCGGCTGCGGACCCTTGTCGATTCAGTGCCGGATCGGCAAAGATGCTCTGCCAGCGATGCTGCGGAAGCGCAGCGCACGCCGTTCCGCTCTCCCTCTCCTCCACGCATGCCGCGTTCGTGTTGGTAGAAGCGCCAACAGAGGGCACGGGCGACGGTGTAATACCGAGCAAGTCGGCCGGTATTCGATTGGAGTGAAAGATGGGTGGATTATTGCTGAAGAAGACGGTGAAGTAGAAGCACGTGCGTAGTACGTTGCGACTGCTGTTCGTGCAGGACTGGTAGTGAGGGACCTCACGCTGACGGCCGCTGCTTCGCTCGGGGTTCTCCGCACCGCCGTCGAGCGCGGCTGCCGACCCTGATGCAGCCAAGTGCGTCTTGTGGTACATGTTTCCTGTTTGCATTCCTTTTCTATCCGAGAAGGTTCTCCTTGGGCGGTGCTGCGCGAAGCACAAGAGGCCGAAAGAAATGAAGATAATAATAATAATAACAGCGAGTGGCAAAGAAATCAGGTTTTTTAATGTATTATGACTAAGTAAAAGCAATCGTATTCGTTGATGCCCACTTCATCGTCAGCCGCGTTTCCCTTTCGAGTGAATCCACCTTGTGGCTTCGGCACGTACGAACGTCCGTGGAAACCGCAAAAAAGGAAAAAAAAACGAGAGAAAGGGAAATTTATCCGTCGCAGCGCTGATTGCAGCCAACCGCGGCAGGAAAGCCACTGTCTGTCTGTCTGTGTGTGTGTGTGTGTGTGTGTGTGTGTGTGTGTGTCGGTGAAAGTTTGTCTGCTGATAACGACGCTTGTCAATACACACACATAGATATATATATATACATATATATATAAGAAAACAATGAAAGCAAAGCGAGAAGGCACCGTGCAAAAAGCGGGCAAAAACCGAAAAGGAGTCTTCGGCGCTTCCTGTCGGGTCAGTTTGGATCGGTTCGGCTGCTTTGCGTCTCCCACTCAACGACAATTCATCACCTCCGCGTTATCGTCGCAGCACATACACGAAAGAAAAAGAGGGAGGGGGAGCAACAAGATAGGAATTACTTCAGTAAGACGGCTGTGGCTGAATAATAGTGATCATCATCATCGAAAACAAAAAGAAAAGAAAGAGGCGGGGGTGTGAGTGCGTCAGTGAGGCGAAAGGATAGGGAGAAGAAAGCCTATGGCAGCCACGGAAGGAGAAGGGAAACAAACAAACAAGAAAAAAATCAAAGAAGAAGAAGCGAGGTACGAGAAGTACTGCAGCACCTTGACAGGTGTCTATTTGTTTAATGCGTTGGGCAAGGTGCAAGGCATCTGTGTATCTGTGTGTGTGTGTGTAGAAGGAGCTGCGATTCAAACAATTCTTTTTGGTTGTTTTTCGTCGCTGTCTTGCATGCGCGCGTGAGCATCGACACACTCTTCAGCTACACGGTCAGTCGTTAAGGAGGCGCGAATGGAAGGAAGCGCGTTGCGCGAACGAAGGAAATATCCAGCGAAGATGAGGAGAGGGGGAGTGGAAGTACAAATCATGGGAACGGGCTGCACAGGATCAGGCAAGGAATTAATAATAATAATAAGTGAGTCGGGAAGGCAGAGGCGGTAGGAGCTACCGAGAGAAACGTGGCCAACGCTCTCCACCCCTCCGTAATTGACTCCCTCGGTCCTTGGCTCCGTCCGTGAAGGAGTCCGCTACCAATTTGATGCTGCTTTCTTTCGAGGCGCGTGCAGCAGCCTTTTCTAAGCTCTCTCTCTCTACGCTTCTTTATTCCCCTTTTAAAAAATTATTTGTTAGCAGCGGAGGAGAACACCAGCAGACACGCAATACCGCTTGACAGTGGTGACAGCAGATGCGTAAAAAGAAAGAAAAGAAAAGAGAATGACAACGTACGCGCAGGCTACTTCCGGCCACTTGATGCTCTTCCACGCTTCACACCCCGCTTCCGCGCTCCTCCTGCGTCGCTGCGCTCGCTGCAAGCGGTGACCGCGACGACGACAACGGCGGGAGCGGTGGAGGACGAAGTCCTTCGGTGCGACAGCTCGCCGCTGCTGCGTCGTACCGCCCCTTTTCCTGGGGGCTCATTTGCTGCCACACGGCCGCCGCCTCTGCCACGCTCCACCTGCGGGCTTTCATCTCTAGCCGAAACAAGTTGAAGCTCGTCAACGTTCGACAAGTCGCTCGTGAGGCGGCGCCTGACGCACGCGTGCTCTTCTTGGAAGGTACTTTACGGGCTATTGGCTTACACCCGCCTTGACATGCGGAGGAAGCGGTAGTTGCGTCCGCAGAGACAGCGGCCGCGGCAGGCACATCGGCCACACCGTTCCTTTCTGTAGCCGACAGTCCTGCATGCACCGGCGGCGATGTGTGCGGCTCATTACGTGCTTTCTCTTGCAACTCACCTGCCCACCACTGCGCCACCTCTTCATAATGCTGTTTTTCTGGAGGGGAAAGTCGCAGCCAGGCGACGGCGATGATTCGCTGGTGCTTCTGTCCCTCCTGTGTGGACGCTGAGGTTGGATCGACGGACTTGAACGCGTCCACTGTGGTGTGCGTGTGGGGAGACGCACACTCTGCATCGTACTGCATCTTAGGTCCGCCGCTATCTGCTGCTGGGCTCGCGAGAGCGCCACTGCTGCCGCGCAGTGCATCGAGTTGCTCTGCTTCATAGACTTCATAGGCGCTAACCGGCCGAGCAGGCAGGTGCTGCATCCATGCGCTTTTTACGGCATTGCCGGCTTCACTCTGGACAGTCGCTGCGGTGAGAGGGGTGAGGGGGCGGTGATGGCCCTTCGCGGTGACCTCGCGAGCAGCGTTGAGGGCGGCGCCACAGCAGGGACAAAAATACAGGGTCGCGTGGCAGCGTCTGCATCGCAACCGATCCTGCATCACTGAGGCGCTTTGCGGCGATGGGGGAAGGAGGAGGGGGGAGGGGAGGGGAGATGAGTAGAAATAGTAAAAGGAAGGGGGGGAGCGTTGAAGGCGAGTGGCGATGCGAATAAGAACAAAACAGCAAAAAAAAAAAGATAAGGCAGCTCCCAGTGAATAATGAGAGCTCACGGAGAAGGTGGTGGCCGCCTACTCTACCGTGCACCCCAAGCCAGCCAGCCAGCGTCGCCGCCGTGTGTGCGAGACACGGAATTGCACGTAAGAGATCCATCCATCATCCACCTCTTCTCTTTCATCATTGATCTTCTCCTTTCTCTTGTGCCGTCGGCCATTGAAGAACGTTTTTCCCTCCTGTCACAGTGTGGCCTCTCGGTGAGGCGGTTAAAGATGGAAAGCCCAGCAGGAAGGGATAGTAGTAGTAACACTAATGAGGCCTTCCAGCGGTGTAGTGACGTGATGAGGGCGAAGCGAAGAATTGATAGAAGAGGAGCATCCTCGCCCTCGCAGTCCCTGCTGAAAAGAAGAAAAAAAAAATGAATAGGTGAAAATAATTTCTTGCTTTCGCTGCGTACGAACATGTCTGCGTGTGTGTGTGTGTTTGGCCGGGAAAGGAAGCGACAGAAGCTCAAAGCAGTTTAGTGGATTCTAAAAGAACCACGATTTTTCTTTTCTTTTGGTAGCGGCCAAAGGGAAGACCTAAGGGGCCAGCAATGCACAAGTGATGGTGGAGGAAACAAGACGACACTGATTTATAAAGAAACAAAGGAAATAGGAAACGGAAAATACTTGAGAAAAGAAGCCTTTGGTGACCCAGTTTTGGGAAGATGCTCTGTGGGGAGAACACCCCGAGCTTCGCACACGCGTCACAGGTAATGCACAACCGTCGTGCAGCCTTCGTTGTCGAGGAGAAGGCGGTCCAGCTCCCAGCCTGTCTTGCGCAGACCCCTCACAAACTCAATAAAGAGCGGATAAAGCCCGTCCTGCGGCGCAATCGATGCCCCCGCTGCCGCCGTCGTCTCCGCGCCCGCCTTCTTCGGAAAAGCGTTGATCTTTGAAGAGGTGGTGGAGGTGGGCGACGTCATCTCCTCAAACATGTCCCGGTCCACCATCGTGAACGCCGTCGGCGCGTTGTGTTCGCTGCTGCGACCCGCATGTTGCTCTCCCTCCTCCTCGTTCTCCCCCAGCATTCCATCCGCTCGCAGGTGCGTAATCAAGTGTAGCGTGGTGCACTCGGGAGAGGCCGCGTTCGTGTCGATCTCGCTGTGGGGCGGGGGCAAACCGGCGCTGGCACGCAACGGCGGCCTTCCTCTCTTGCATCGCTCGCGTACCACGCGGTGGTGCATGTACGCGTAGAAGAAAGCCCACAGCTCACGATAGGCCAGCGGCAGGACATGCGGCGGCACCACCACCCGCTCTCGGCGCAGACGATCGATCTCAGCACGCGCCTCCGCGTCGGCTGCCTCGGCGGCGGTGCGGTCGTCGTCATCGTCTTCGTCTTCGTCCTCCCTTTCCTTGTCCACCGCCGTTCCCGCATCCGCCCCCGCGGACCCTTCTCGATGGCGGTGCGCACGCTTTGCTTTCGCCTCTCGATCCGCCTGGCACTGCCGCTTGTAGGGCACCCAGCTCTCCGGCACCCCCTCCACGGTGTAGAACTCCGGCAGAATCACGTAGTACGACATCGCGGCCGCATCCAAGAGCAGCGCCACGCCGCGCGATGACAGGGACTCCGCCACGCGGTGGACCAGCGCGTGCTTCCGCGCCGCCGTGAGCCCCGTTTGTGCGGTGAGCAGCGTGTGGAAGGACGCCCCGCAGTGAAGCCGAAGCTGCAGCGTCGGCGGACACAAGTAGCGACGGAGCAGCACGCAGACCCTGTCCGTTAAGCCGGCGTCCCGCAGCGGCACCGCCGGGAGTGCCGGCAAAATAAACAGCGGCTCCTCCGCGTTGGCGCGTCGCACGGAGAGGTCCAGCACCGGCATCGCCGCCTTCGCGACGGTCTCCTTCTTTCGCGCAATGAGGGCGCGCTCCTGAAACAGGCAGAATTGCTCGCAGCACCACTCCAGGCGAGGGGCATTCAGGTGCCGAAGCTGCACCCCTCGAACGCCCTTGTAGTTGGCCACCAGATGGAACGTGGTGGAGAGCACAAAGACGCTCAGATTCAGCACGGTCGACGAGGCAGGGACGAGGTAGGCGACGACCATGCCGAGGGCAAGCCCGACGAGACCGCCCACGTTGCCGCGCATCCCCGCCTTCGCCGCCACATCCGCGGCGTTGCTGCGCAGGGCAAAGTGCTGCGTAAACGACGCCCGCGTACCGCTGCCGCAGACACTGACGAGGGCTTTAATGAGCGAGGCGAGCACCACGACCAGACGGAAGGTGAGCTGACCACCGGGGAAGAGAGGGACGCACAGCTCCAAAAAAGTGGCCGTGTCGTTCGTGAAGTCCGCGACGAGCCGCCACGTCTTGGCGCGGAACTCGAGATCTTGCGAGATGACAGAGGCAAAGAAGAGGCTGCCAAGCAGCCACATCCCATCCCGCATCATCCACGATAAGGTGGAGCTCGTCAGGTTCGCGGTCGATTCGCCGACGCCGACGCCGAGCAACACCGCCCGCATACTCAGCGCCGCCATCACACTATTTGCCAGAACCTGCGCCGTGTCCCACAGGGCAAACGTCAGTAGATCATCCGTCACGCTGTTGGGGTAGCCGGCGGGGAGGAAAATGCGTTCCAGTGTGGCCTGCACACGTCGTCGTAGGCGGCGCTGCCGTGAAGCACCGTTGCTGCCACTGCCGCCGCTGTGGCTACTTGCATTGTGTGGGCTGCTCGGGACAACTGGGGACTTTGCTACGTCGCCGCCCAACTCTTTGAAGTAGTCGATCGCGTACACCTCGCTGACGGTTTCCACGCTGCCGCCGTGCTGCGGGTTAACGCGGTACGACACCTGGCGTCCGCCGCTGAACTCATGCAACATGACGATGGACCAATGGTGAGCTCCTGCCTTTGGTCTTGGTCCAAACGAATAAACTATTATTTTGAGGCCTGTGACGGAAGTAAAACAGAGAGCCACAATAATGAATGAAGGAGGTAAGAAACAAGGAGAAGAGAACCTTCGCTCCTCAAGGAGCTTCAGAATGTGGAAAATGAGGCAAACCGAGAAAGGAGGTGGAGCGTGGTGCAGCAAAGACACAGCAGGAAAAGAGAACAGCTCAAGCGGTGAAGGCGAAGGAGCGTGTATAGTATCTTCCTTTTTCTTTGAAGGTTGATGACTGCGTGAATGCCGGAACGGCTGGCGCACGTTTAAGTCTCGACAGGTAAAGGAGGACTTCGTTGCACACTGAAGAAGAGACGAAGAGAGATGACAAGCGACGGGGCGAGAGGGGAAATATAAAAACTATTTATGTATATCAGAAAATGAGCAAAGTTGATGCCCTCTCAAACAACAGCAGGAAAGGAGGAGCGTTCTGAGACGACTTACGTTGCAGCCGCACCTTCGCACGACGCGCATGGAGCTGTGGCGCGGCTCTTTTTGCAAGAGAAGAAGAAGGAGAAAAAAAAGCTCGCAGGATGCGTCCTTCACTCCTTTACTCTTTTGGCGGTTTCCCTCGTTTTGTGAATGCGAATTTGTCCCTCTCTGTATGATACGTGTGTGCATAATACTTGCCCTCGCCATGCACGCCGGAGCGCTATACAACGACGGAGCATCCCACACATCGAAGAGGGAAAGCGTCCTCCTCGACCACCGCAATAGCACCTACTCCGATAACACGGTGGCACTGCAAAAGGTGAAGTCCAGAAGAGAAAAAGAGGAGAGTATCAGCGGCGGAGTTGGCGAACAGCAGATACCCGTTTTATTTGTGTTTTTTGGGGGAAGAGAGTTTTGTTTGCCAGCAATGAGAATGGTACAAGACGGAACACGCAGGAGAGAAATCAAGGAATAGACATCAGTGAGGGGAACGACGGAGAAAAAAAAGGGCAAAAAAGAAGAGAAGGAAGCGGTGCAACTGGCCGCTTTAGTCGCTTATCGTCCCTACAGATTCAGCACTTCTACGCTGCACCTCGCGGCTTCGATACCGACACATTACAATATATATATATGTGCAAGACGTGGCAATTGTTGTGAGGGGAGGGGGGGGGAGGTAAATGGAAAAGGAAAGCACTTGTGAATATAGGAGCCGAAACGGCAGAGCAGAGAATCATAACTCGGTGGAAACCGCAAAGTGGGGAGACGAAGATGTGAGGAAGCTTCACGCACGCACCGGGGTCTTCGCACTCTTGGAAGAGCCCTTCAGCGGCGCCTTCTTTTTCGGGAGCGCCGTGAGTGATTGGGGCGTGCGAGCCGCCGCCGCCGTAGGGCTCTTTGTGCCCGCACGCGACATCAACGGAGCTTTGTCCTTCGCCTGTGGCGTAGTCGCACTGCGCTTCCGTTGTGCTGTTGATGCGGATGCTGCTTGTGTCGCCGACGGCGGCGTAGGCGAATTTGCCTTCTTCCTTTTAGACGAAGTGCCACCTGCCTCGGCCACCGCCGCGGCGGGCAGCGTTGACCTCCGCCGTTCTTTCTTCGGTGTTGTGACGGCAGACTTCGCCGCCGTCTCTCTCGGCGCGGATGGGGAGTGGACGGAGGGCCGCGTCGGCTCCGGCGAGCGCTGCGACTCTGCGGAAGCGGCCTTCGTGGCGGCCCGCCCCGGCACTGTCGAACCACGCCGCGACGTCGACGGGGACCCGAAGCGCGGGAGTGCAAAGCCGCCCTCCACGCCCGTTGTCGCTGGCGTAGCAGACCCGTTGTCGCTGCCGTACGACGTTGGTTGCGTTGTACGTGGCGGTGTCTCGGTGACGTCCGCAGCGCGAAAGCGAAGCAGGAACTCTCGAAGCACCAAGTCCTGCGAACGGTGGTGCTGAGTGTAGCTCTCCCTGACGTCGTCGCGCGAGACCCCGACGCGGCCGTCGGCGAGGGCGCGGTAGAGAGAGTCGATCGTCGCCTCATCCCGCTCCGTCAGCCGCACCGGATCCCTGACAAAGGAGCTGCAGAGGAAGAACTCCGAAAGGGAAGTGTCACCGTGTGCGCCGCCGCCACCACCACCGCCGCGATGGGCAAAGCCGCTGCTGCTTCTATTATGTTTGTTGAGGTTCGCTGCGCTGGGCGTGCTGGAGGCGGACTGCGTGTAGCAGCTCCCCGCCGCGCCGCCGGAGCGCCACGACGAGCGACTTGGCAGGAAACCGTCGACGCGTTGAAACGTCATTTCGAGCCGCACGAGGCGTTCCGCCTTGACGTAGTCTCCCTTGCAGGTGGACACCGCCGCCTCGATGCTGGAGGCGGCGGCGGCGGGGTATCGGCGGGCGAGGTAGAGCCGCAGGTACGCCAGCTTGTCGAAGGACTGCGGCTGCGGGTCGCGCGCGACGAGCTGCACGAGGCACGGCATGCGAGGCGTGCACATCGGCAGCCGCTGCAGCAACACCTCGGCCAGTGCGACGCGGTCCACTTCGAGCAGGTACAGGGCCGCCAACGCGCTCGCCGTGCCTTTGCCGTCGAGAGAGTAGACGTAAACCAGCGCCTCGGGGTTCGACCGCAAGGTGTGGCGAAGGCGCCTGACAGTGTCTTGCACGGGGGCGCTCGCGAGAGAGTCGGCCGTGTTGGGGATCAGGCAGCGCAGCACGTGATCGGCGCCGAGCGTTTTCTCCGCCACACTGTGCAGATCGGCATTCAGCTTTGCACTTTCGAAGAGCTCCGTCTTGTCTTTCGGCGATGCAGTCACGGCATTGTGGTGGCTGCTGCTTGTGTTAGCCGTGGTCGTGGTGGTGGTGGCGGCGTTTGCTGTGACAGGCCCAGGTGTATTGGAGGTTGCCCCGGCGAGTTGCGGGCTGGCGGTGGGCAGAGGCGGAGTCGAGAATGACGACGAAGAAGTTGCAGGGGCCGGCGCAGACTTCTCGCCCGACGGGTCGGCCGGCGGCACGGGTATGAATGCGGCTGTGGACATCCCGTTGTGTACGCAGCGCAGCCGCAGACGCGCCAGACACTCCTCAGCGTTTTTGTGCATGCGCTCCACCACCTCCCTTGTTGACAGCAGCGATGCGGGGGCCGCAGCGGGTGTAGCGGAGGCGGCGGTCGTCGTGGTCGTCGTTGCGGACGTCGTGACAGATGACGCTAGCACCGTGACAGGCATCTTTGTGTCGGGGGGCGAAAAAAGCGACGTCGTAGCGGGATTCAGTGCCGAGTCGTGCGCCTGCGGGGAGGCCGCAGGAACCGGCGTCACGGTTGCCGGTGACGCTGACGGCAACATCGCTTCCGCGGATTCGGTTGGCGCACCTGTTGCGGTGGTGGTGGGAACTGCTGATACGCGGTCCTCGTTGCTCATCAGCGGTGGCGCCGTGGCGTACTCCGGCATGAGGGGCAGATCGCTCGGGTGCGGAGCGCAGTCGACAACGTAGCGGAGGGAAGGCGGCGGCAACACCACGGTGCGGCTCGGGAAGGCGGCGCCGGTCGGGGCCGTCAGGAAGTGCTCGAGGTGGATGAGCGGCCCGATGAGGAGGTGCTGCGGCTTCGCGACGTACACGCCGGCAAAGTCTTGCAGCGAGCCCAGCGAAAAGGACGGTGCTGCAGTCATCGTGGCAGCCTTCCTGTGCGTCGTAGGTTTTGTAGTTGCTTTGGGTAGTTTGATATCGACTAGATGAGTAAAACGGGAAAAAAATGTGTGTTCTAAACGATCGGGTTGCGTCTGAGCTGTGTGTGTGTGTATGTGTGTATGTAGTAGTAGTAGTAGTACAGTTTGCGTGGATGTATAGGCTTAGCTGTCTCGCTCCGCAGCTGCCCGTGGGGGCCTTCGTGCGAAGGCGATCGGAGAGAGAAGGGAAAGGACGAAAGGGAATAAGAAAAGAAAAGAAAGAAAGCGTTGTGCGTGGTGGCGCGGAAGCACTGCAGAAACTGTCGCAGCTGAGCATGAGCGTTGGACGTGGCGTCGATGAGCAGTGAAGAGAGACCGAGAGAGAGGGAAAGAAGAAAAGAGAAGATGCAGGGAGGGGGAGGGGGGAGGGGAGGGGATCAGTATGAGAGGGCGTTGCTTTGCCGTGAAGGCGAAGGGCAACAGAGAACGGCGCCACAAAAAAGGTAATCGTTGGCAAAACATTCTTGCCGTGCCTGAACCGCGCATCTCCCGCCGCGAAGACGCACGAGAGCGTCTCTCTGTTCTTTCTTATCCCCATGTGACAAGAGAAAGACAAAGGATAGGTGCGCCAACAATCGGCTTTGGCGCGGGAAAACAAAACAGCCGGTAAGGTCTTAAGAAAGCCGGCTGCGGTCATTATCATCCATCGTTCTCCTTTTTCAGATTCGCAAAGCGGAATGAGTGCGGAGCAACAGAGAAGGAAAAGCGGCAAAAAAATAAAGAATGAAATACATACACACTAATAACAATTCGCCGGTAAACGCAAAACAAGAAAGCTGCAACCTTCACAAGCGCACATCGTTGCGCGGCACCCAAACGCAGCGGAGGAAGCGAGCACAACACGCAAACGCGGTCGCCTAGATAAGCCGATACAGCCTTGTCTGTTTTCTCTTCTTTTTTAATAACGCAGTGCAGCAGTTCCTTTGTTCCACAGGAGCGGCTAAGGCCGACGCGGTGCAGGGAGACGAGGAGGGGGCGCATGTCTCTGCGCTGTGGCCGCAGGCGCAGGCTTTTCCTCCTCGTCCTCCTCCGTCTCTTCCTCCGTCTCCTCCTCCACGTATTCGTACTCCTCGTCTTCCTCGTCGCTGCTCTCTACTCTCACACCGCCCCTCGCAGCAGGAGCTGCAGCAGCAGTCGTCGACTTCTCTGCCCTCGCGGCCATTAAGGCATCCGTCGCGAGTGGTGGTACGACGGGGCGTTGCGGCGGCGGAGGCCGCGCCGCCGGATCAACGTGCCGCGCCGCTCCTCCGGCTGCTGCGGCGACGGTTGTACCAGCGCTTCCAGCTAGAGGTTGTGCAGGTGTGGCTGCAGGCGGCGCAGGGCGAGTCGCCCCAGCAGCCCTCTCCGGGGTCTCTTCGTCGTCTTCGGTGTCTTCCACCTCCTCCTCCTCTTCCACCTCTTCTTCCTCTTCCTCTTCCTCCTCTTCCTCCTCTTCCTCCTCTTCCTCCTCTTCGCTGGATGCTGCTGGTGCAGCCACACCTCCTGCTGCAGCCGCTGGTGGCGGAATCGCAGGCTTCGAAGTTGCCGTCGTCGTCGACGGAGTCGCCGTGGCGGTCGGCGCGGGCGCCACCGCCGTTTTTTGTCGACTGCGCGACGACGACAGCAGTGGCAGCGGCAGGGCGGGACTTTCCTCCTCAGCCGCGGCGAAGTCGACGCGATCGTTGTCGTCTTCGTTCAACGCGGCGGCCACCACCGCGGCGGCGCTGACGGACGCCGACTGCGACAAGGACGGACCGCCCCTGTCCCCACTGCCGTCTCGGATGTTGCTACTATTCCTGTTGGTGATGATTTTGTTCGCCCAGGAAGGAGCAGGGGAGGCCTTTCCAGCCGCACCGCGTGGGCTGGCCGGGGCGCTGGCGTTCGCCGCTGCTGCGGCTGCTGCTCCTGTCGTCGTCGTCGTCGTCACGACGCGGCCGTCGCGCAGCTTCTCGATTGTTTGCAGCTTCTGATAAAAGAATTGGATGTGCTGCGTTGCCAAGGAGTCGTCGTTGGCGCCGGAGACCTGGCGGAAGACGAGCCGGATCAGCACCTCCACCTCCTTTGCCGAAAAGTTCTGGTAGTCGAGGCTGGAAACTATCTCGTTCACGACGTCCTTGTTGAAGACGTAGCGCAGAAACAGCGCGGGGCGGACGAAGTCGCGCGACACCGTCTCCCGCACGTCGCTGTCGGCCGGCAGCACCAACTGCAGCGTCGTCTGCATGACGAGCAGGTCCGTCCGCAGACGCATTAAGCCGGCGGGGGAAATCGCCTTGTACCGCAAGTGCGCCAACTCGCACAACACCAACTCACTCGCAGGGCGTCCTGCTGTAAGGCAGGTAAACTTGATCTTCTTGGCGTAGAGGTGCTGGCGGAGAATGGCGTAGAAGTTGTGCAGGCGACGCGCGTAAGCCTGGACGAAGCTGTCCGCCGCGCTCGACACAGCCACCACGTCGTAAGACACATCGCGCAGCTGCGGGAGGAACAAGAAGGCCAGGAAGCGGGCCTCGACGGAGAGGTGAAACAGCGACACCTGCGCAATGGAGCACAGACGCGTGAGGTGGCCGGAGAGGCGTATCTTGTGCTGCGCCGTGTAGTCGCCTGCCACCATCGCGAAGCCCGTCGCGTCGCCCACGCGCATCTCACGACTGAACGTGTACCCCGGCACGCAGCAGTCCGTGTGGTTGCGGGAGCCGCGATGGCTCGGCCACAGGTGACGCAGCAACGCATCGCACAGCCACTCCGCCGAGGTGCAGAGCAACGCGAAGGCGACCAACGTGCTGTCGTCGCGCACGCAGATGTCACGCGGCTCCATGCGGCCAATTTGTGGGTCCAACTCACCACCGCCGCCGTCCTGCGAGGACGTCCGCTGTGCCCCGCCCCCGGCGACCGACGTGGCGTCTAACGCCGTCATGGCCTGCAGCGCCGACACGGCGGTGCTATCGTTGTACTCGTGCCCGCTGGTGCGCTGTTCGCTGTTCAGCTGGTAGTACCGCTGCAGGTCCTCATCGATGAAGCGGTGTGCCTGCTCCATGTTTTCCTCGTCCACCAGCGCCGCCCACCTTCGGTTCGGTAGGCCAGCAAAGGCGTCCTCGAAGGGCTGGTCGAGCAGGCGGAGGGACAGCGTACCACGACCGAGCCACTGCACCTGCCGCTTTAAGAACACCACCAACTCCATAATAAGGGCCTCCGATGTGCTCTGCTCCACCTCGTCCGTCAGCGACTCCGGCAGCACGCGACGCACGTCGCTGATCTTCGCCAGAACCTGTCCAACGTACTGCACACAGGCCAAAATAGGGAACGCGACGCCGTCGACGGCCACGGTCGGCCAGGCGCCGCTGAGACTGTTCAACGATGCGGGGGCTTTGCTCGCGGCGTTGCTGTGGGAGCTGCCTACAGGCGGGGAGGCGGAATCGATCGTTGTCGATGTGGCCGTCCCACCACCTCCACCTCCACCGCTGCCGCTGCCGCCGTCCGCGGAAGGCGCCGCAACGCCGTTGTCACCGATGTTGATGCACAGCAGCTGCAGCTGCTGGGAGTGAAAGGCGTGCAGCGTGGGAATGTACGTGGCGCGCAGGAAGCGCTTGAAGAAGCCGACGACGCAGTCCTCGTCGCTCAGCGAGCGAAGCTCGGGGACGCGGTCGCAGCTGCGGCTGTAGAAGCGCGCCGCACACTCGTAGCACGGCACAGCGTTCATGGCGGTGAAGACGAACCAGCGGCGCAGCATCGACGCACGCAGCTGCACGAGCGGCGGGCCCGAACTGCCCGCACCGCCCGCGCCCCCGCCGCCGCCGTCCGTCAGCACGATCAACTTCGCCATGTCGCTCTGTATCGCCTCGTACTGTCGCTGCTGGCCCTCGTTCGCCCTGCGGATGTCCGCTTGCGCCTTCTTCACGGCGCCGACGAGGCTAAACGAAACAGAGCCCGTCTCCTCCACCATCCGCAGCAGCCCCGACGACTCAAAGGTGGACAGCAGCCGGTCCAGCGTCATGGCGTCGTCGCCCTGCCGCTCCGTGTCCTGCATAATGAGGGCCGTGCGCTGCACTCGACTGATCAGATTCTTCTGTCGAAGAAACGGCAGCAAGGTGACCGCGTCGTCCGCCTCCTCCTGGGCCTCCTTGGCGTCGCAGAGGACGTGGAAGACGAACTCGATGTGGTAGTTCAGCTGCGCCCACAGGACCTGCAGGTCCCACTCCTGCCGCATGGCTTGGACCTCGGCGACCAGCTTCACCCGCACGGCCTCGCGCAGCTCCGCCGGAAAGACGATCCCCAGCTTGGAAAGCAGCAGCTCGGAGGCAAAGGGGTATTTGGCGCGAACGGAGCCGCACGCAGCATCGACGGCTTCGCAGATGCCGTGCAGCGTGAGGAAGCGGTGTTGCGCTTGGAGCGCGAGCAGGAGCGGCGAGGTCGACGCGGCAGCAGCAGCGGCGGCCCCAGACGCGAGGGAGCTGTTGGGCACCGGTGAGGGGGACGGGGCACGGGATTGGGCAGCGGCGTCTCCCGTCTCCTTCGCGCCATCGGCCAGCGGCGCAAGAAGGGCGTCGATGCTGAAGAACTCCAAAAATTTGGCCATCACGTCGTCGGCGTCCGGGTTGAGGGTAAGTGGTCCACCGCCGCCACCGCCGCCACCGCTGCGGCTGCGGCTGCCGGGCTGCGTCTGCGCGCTGGACGGTGAGGTGTCCCCTGCGGTCGTGGCGGACGAAGACGACGGTGACGGCGGTGTTTCGGTCAGGCGGTGGTGGGCGTAGTCGAGCACCGTGGCCAGCGTGTTGCGCAGCCACCCCGCGTCGCGCAGCGGCACCGCCATCACGTTCCACTGCCGCGACGTGGCCTCCGCATCGAACGGCACCGGCTGTACGATAAAGCTAGAAATGAAAGGGAAGTGCGCGACCAAGATAATCTTTTGAAGATACTCGGCGTTGCGCAGGATCTTTTCCAATTCGGTAAAGAGGGCCCCGAGCATGGCGCGCAGGTCGCGCGACTGGATGGTGGCGACGGCCTCATCGAAGGAGATGAGATCGTTCGCGAGGTCTAGCGCACGTACGTAGGTGCCGCGGATGGCGGCCTCCTCATCTCCCCCGCTCAGCGTCGCGCCGCTGCGACTGCGCCGTCGCCAGGCGTCGTACAGACGCAAGAAGTGTGCAATGAACCTCTCAATGCTCCTCGTCGCCTTGCTGAAGAAGGTCTCGTGGCAGTAGTCGACCTTGCCGAGCAGCACCAGGCTCTTCACGCACAGCGGCACAAACCGGAGGTAGTTGCTGGCCACATTCGCCTCATTCGGGTCGTCGAAGAGCGTTTCGATGATCGCGGCTAAGGTGCGTTCCTTTCGCGCTGATGTTCTCTCACCACCACCAACGCCGCCCTGTTCGCTACCTTCGTGGTTCTGGTTGCTGCCGTTGGGGTCGCGACCCGTGCCAGTAGTAGCATCGTTGTTATTAGTACCATTCGTTGCCTCCTCCGTGCTGGCAGCCCCGCCCCCGTCCTCGTCGCCCTCTCCCGCGTCCACACCGGCGATCTTCCAGTACTTGTGCACCGTGTGCTGCACGCTCGGTGCAGACGCGTTCGTGTCCTTCAAAACCTGCTCGCTGCTGTCTAGTAGATCCTGCAGCAGCTGCGCATCCGCCACCATCAGCCGCTCCTGACGAAAGACACAGGAGAGCAGGTCATCGATGATCGGCAGGTGGAGAGAGGCCACCGTGGTGTTGTGGGCGTCGCGCAAGGTCTGAATGGCGCGGACGCCCTTCAGCTCATCACTGGCGAGCAGCTTCGCCTGCGTTTGCAGCTGCTGGACCGCTCTCAGGTAGTGCCGGCCTTTCACGAGCGACTTAACCTCCGCTTCCGCCGCAACGACGTCGTTTATGTGTTCCAACGCCTCGGCCATGAAGAGGGACTTGGCCGCACGCAGGCGCAGCACCTTTAACTCCTCGGCGTGGCTCCCTAGCGAGCCCGCCGCGTCCACCAACTCCTTCTTAAACTGCGCGAGTGTGTCGTCGCTTCCTGAAACCGCCAGCACCATCTCCGAGAAGTCGCCGATGGCGGCGTTGAACTCTTCATGGTGGGCCTCAATGTAGTCGCCCAGGGCGTCGTCAATTTCGCCCTCAAGACTCTTGTAGTCAACCAGGTTGTCCGCGATCTGCGACGGCGTCGCCTCGGTGCCGCTGGCGTCGTCCGCGATGATGCCCACGACGTGCTCGTGTGGCACGAAGTCCTCCGAGAGCAGCTCCGCGTCCACGTCATCGAAGAGGTCGCGCGTGAGGCGCACAAAGTCTTGATCGGCCAGCGGCAGCATATCGAAGCCCTCTTCCTCCAGTTCGTCCTCGTCCGGCGGCACCGCGGTGGGGGCCTTCATCTGCGCCTTGAAGAGCTGTCGGGAGAGCCCTTCTGCGAGCTGGGTGGTCCGCTGCGCGTGGACGGCGGCGGCAGCCCCACCTCGCGAGTCTTTTAATTTTGCTCCTGGCGCCGCCGGCGTGGTACGCATCAGCGCGGCGGCCAGTGATTTTGCCGGTGCAGCCGCAGCTGGGGATGCGCCCGTACTCGACCTCCCATGCCGACTGTCACTGTACTTGTCAAGGCTGTCGCCCTCTTCCGGCACCTCCGCCTCCTCCTCTTCGTCGTCGTACTCCCCCTCACTTCCGCGGTGCATCGCCGCGTTCTGCTGCCCCACCGCCGCCAGTGTGTTCGCTGCCGCACCGGCCGTCATGGGGAAGCCGGCAGCAGCACCCAAGCCGAGGCCGCCACCACCGCCTCCACCTACCCGACTGGGCGGCCCACCACCGAACGCGGACGCACCGAAGACGCCATCGGTGGCGCTCAAGCCGGCGGCGCTCTGCCGGAGAAACACACCGGCCGCCCCGCCGCTCCCGCCGAGACCAGTCGAGAAGCCGCTCGGCCCGGCTGTCGCGGGGGCGCCGCCGAAGACCGACGCGGAGGAGGGGGCGGCCGCACCGCCAGCCGCGTTGTTGGTGCTGCCGGAGTAGCGCCACGCACACATGGCGACACCCACTCACAGAAAGCGCAAATGAACGGCTTTCTGCAGAGAAAGCAGAAGGAAGGGAGGGAGAGAGGGACGGGGACGGAAGACAGCGACCAACGGCGAACACACGCAACGCGACGCAGCTGTGGAACAGGAGAGAGAGAGAAGAAAAAAAAAAGAAAAGCCAAAGAAGCTGTCCGAGCGGAGCAGCAACAAATAAGGATACTAACGGAAGTAGTGGAGTTTTACAGGAGAAATAAATTTTGCATTTGGATGTGGCCGACGTTGGCAAGGCCCCCTCTCCATACACACACGCGCACACACTGGGTATACCGTCTTCTTCTTTCTATGCGGCAGCTTGTGAAGTAGAAAGAAAAAGAAGAGGAAGAAGAAAGAAAGCGCTGGTGCGATGCTCCACTGTGCGCTGGGGAAAGCACGAGAAACAAAGATCGGGAAGACGGTATTGTGAGACCCCCCCCCAGGGTAGTGACAGAGGGAAAGAAAGAGAAAGAAAGAAAGAGAGGGCCCGTGAAGACGCAGCGCGGTTGTTGTGATGAGGAGGGAGTGAGCGTGAAGATGAAGGAAGACGGCGCTTCGTGCCTTTACGCTCGCATCGTCATCCTCTGTCTCCCTGTGCCTGCTCCGTAGAAATCAAGACAGCTAGAAGAGAGAGGCAGTGACGAAGATTCTCTTTCACCCAGCAGAATTCACGCCTCGTGCGTCCTCTCCAATTCGCACGCGCAGCACAGTCCTTACCAGGCAGGACTGACCGCACTCATGCACCTCCTGTGGGAAAAGGAAGCACATGCGGTTGCGAATGCAGGTGCCAACGCCCGCTGATCAAAGGGCAGACCATGAGGTTGCGTTAACAGTGAGCGAGTTGCGGCTGTGCGATTGGGTCTTCTCTCCTTTTTTTTTGTTGAGTATTCATGAAAATGATAAACGAAAAAGACAACGATTCAAACGTCGAACAACGGGGACGCGCAGCACCGCCGGTCGAGAGGGAGGACGGGAGAAAAAGAAAGGGAGCACAGAGAGGGACGCCGCATCGGTGCGCGAGAGAGAGCTCGCAGGCCCACCGTTGCGACGGCACCGTCATCGCGTCACGCCTGGATTTCACCCCAGCGTCCTTCGTGTTCCGCTCTGCTACCTCTCCTCCCTCAAACACACCAGGCAGTGTAAACACACCATCATTCTTTGCTTTCCTTTTTCCCTCTAGTTCTTGGCGAACTTCTTGCCCATCTTGTCGGCGGACGTCTTCGAGACCACCTCCAGCACGTTGTAGCGCACCGTCTTGCTCAGCGGGCGGCACTGGCCGATGACGACCTGGTCACCCTGCTTGGGGTCAAACGCCGGGCTGCAGTGCACCGCGAGCGACTTGTGGCGCTTCTGGTAACGCTGGTACTTCTTGATGAAGTGCAGGTAGTTGCGGCGGATGACGATGGTGCGGTGCATCTTGGTGGAGTGGACGATGCCGCGCAGGATGCGGCCACGGATAACGACGTTGCTCGTGAAGGGGCACTTGCGGTCGATGTACTTGCCGTTGAGGGCCGTCGCGGGGGTCTTGAAGCCGAGGCCGACCTTCTTGGAATAGCGGATGTGGCCGGACGAGTTCACGTGCTTGCGGCTCGGGCGGTGCATGTTCTCATTCACGGCCGTCTGGCGCTGGTACGCCTTCTGGTGCTGAATGGTGGCATCCACCTGATGCGCGTGGTAGTACTGGGGAACAGCGGACATTGTGTTCTCGGGAGGAAGAAGAATGTTCGGAACGTCCTTGCGTGGGTGTTTAGACAAATATATGTATTTAAGGAGTAAAGTGACGTGGAGGGCGAGCAATGATGATTTCGCACGAGTGCAACGGACGACGGCGTTGACGAAGAGGAGAAGATAAAAATGAAAGCAAAACAGAAAAGGTGCAGGAGTAGAAATGGGTGTCACATGGAGTGGATCGACAGATCCACACTCCTACGCATCAATGCCGCCGCGGTGAAGAATAGAATCGTACGTAATAGTGCTCTTTGCTGTTGCCCCAGCCTGGCGCTGTCTCTTGTTTTCTCTTACCGTTGTGTTCCTCCTCTTTGGCGGCCAAGCAGCGACAGGTCGCAACACGACGGCTGATACATCATAACCGTCAGCATTCAGCCACCGTCATCGGGGCCTTCAACAACAGAAAAGGCGCGCAGTGGCTTCTTTGGATTTCGCACTCCATTTTTCTTTCTTTTCTTTGTAAAAGCAAACGATGGAAATAAAATGACTTGAAAGGCAAACCAACACACACACACACACGCGCGCGCGAGTACAGCAAACGCACAAAGATAAGGCGAAACAGTCATGTTGCTCATTTCGCCGCCCTCGTCGCCACACGAACACCACGAGTTCGGCGCACTTCAACGCAGCGATCGTCGTTTCAGCGTAAAAGAAGAAAAAAAAAACCCAGCACACAGCAAAAAGAAACAGAGCGAGAAAAGAAAGAAAGAGAGGGAAAACGGCCGTTTCCACTCTGTCGCAGAATCCAAAAGCTCACGTATGTATCTATACTCTAAATCTAGCTGTTGACGCACAAACCAAGGCGGAAGAAGAACCTTCCTCCATTCCCCAATACAGTAAAGAAGACAATGGCGCATTTTTGTAGGCACTCTTTTCTATCTTTACTCAAGCACTGTGTCGTCCGTCGTCTCAGCACCATTGCCCTGCAGTGGAGAGGGCGGTGCCAGCATCTGTCCACGCGTGTTCTGCGTGCGCTGCCGGCGGTCACCGTTGTGCCCCGGCGGTGGCGGCGGCGGCACCGCAGCGAGACGTGCGTTGAGGAGCGCCGTCGAAGCCTCCGACCCTGCTGCTGCGTTTGCCGCCGCACGCCGCCCGCTGCTATTCCCTCCGTTGTTGTTATTGACGTTGATGTTACCCGCCGCGCTGGAAGGCGTCGCTCGCCGCGGCGAGTTCTCTGTCGGGTCGACGTTCACCGAGTCGAAGGACGCGTCGTCGTCGTAGTCGACTTCGTGCAAATCAAAGCGGCCGGAGTGCGAGGACGATGCCTGCTGCTGCTGTGGTTGCAACTGCTGATTTGACATGCGCTTGTCCTGCGGGGCGCCCGGGTTGCGGCCACCTGACGGCAACGGCGTCATCATCTCGTCGTCGTACTCCTCGTTTAACAGCGGGGTAAGAGGTCGGCTCACGCTGGGGCCGACGTGCGGGGGCTCTTGCATCGGCTGGTTCGGATTGTAGCGCTGCTGCTGTTGCTGCTGAGGAAACGGTCGCGCGGACATCGGCATCTGCTGCTGCTGCTGCGGCGGCGGCGGCAGCGGCAGCGGTTGTTGTTGTTGGCTCCCGTCCTGTTGCTGACCACCACGTGTAGGGGACGCGGAGAGATGGAGGTGTTGTTGATGCTGCGCCGCGAGCAGCGGATCGCCCGGCTGCGTGCGGCCGCGCAGGGAATTCGACAGGGCTGAAAACGGCTTGCGAAGGCCGTGGCGGATGGCGCGGTGGTAACTGTGGTGGTGCGGCGGCGGCTGCCCCGGCTGCGCACCGGCGGGGCCGCCGTCTGCTTGCGTAGACGGCGCATTCGGGTTCACCGTGGCTGCGTGGTTGTTCGCGTACGTGACCTGCGGAGGTGACCCGGCTGTAGGGGCTCCTGCTCCCGCCGGACCTCCGCCCCTGCCGTCGTCGTCGTTGTTGGGATGGTCCGCCGCCGCTGCGGGGTCTGGCAGGCCGTAGTACTGCCGCACCGCCTTCTGCCACGCTTCCTGGCGCTGCTGGTCCTCCCTCAGCATTTTGTCGCGCGGGTTCTCTTTCGATAAGTTCCAAATCGCGAAGAGGGCGTTGAGGACGGTGACGGCGATGGACACGATGTACGATACAATCAGCTCTGTGTAGGGCTGTACCGAGTTGTAGAAGGCCCCTCCCTCGCCGCCGCCGCAGGCGACCAGGTAGTCCGTCATAATTTGGTTCTCCTTCGTGACCCCCCACGTCATCACCATGCCCAGCACCATCAGCAGCACCTCCCACGTGGTGACCATGTCCTTGCGGAAGACAACAAAGTGGTAGCGAATCTCGTGCGTGTTGGTCTCGAACCACAGCCGGTTCAGCATGCTCACCACCACGTGCACCGCCGTAATGGCCATCAAGTAGCGAATGTTCAGTGCGCCGCGGCTCACGAAGTAGCCCACGTTGTCGGCGCTCATCGTGTAGGTGACGTTGCGAAAGAAGGCGTGGGTGCGCGTGACGTTGTACAGGCAGCCGGCCTGCAGGTACGGCTCCTTCAGCTGCAGCGGCGAGATGGAGAAGAAGGGGTTGGACATGGAGTTGTTCGCGTTGGTGCTGGTGCGGATGATCGCGGCTAGAAAGCACGCGAGCTGCACAATGACGATTAACACGTTCAGGCGCGACCACCACAGCTCCGCCTCTGTGCGCTCCAGGTGGAAGGCCTGCTGGTCCTTGCCGTAGATGTGCATGGCGACACGGCTGCAACGGATAGAAGTAAAACGACAAAGGAAAAGAAAATGTAAGGAGAAGAAGAAAAATGTGGAAACCTAAAAGGAAAAAATCGAAGCTCAGCAGATGCGCTCACCGCCTGTAGAAACACACACACACACACACACGTACACGTACACGTACACACAGATAAATAAAACAGAAAAGAGCAGCAACAACACCAGCGACAAAGAAGAAAGGTCTAAGAGTGGCTCACCGTTTGGGACGTCTACCGCGGAGGCGCAGAAATAAATTTTTATATTAAGAAAAAGGTGGACGTCTGAAAATACGGGCAGTTGAAGGAAGGGGGAAATATGTAAATGTGTATATGTATATTTATGAGGTGTGGTGTGTCACGCTGCCGCTCCGGTTCCGAGAGTATATATATCTGCGGCCACAACACTCAGACAACTAAAAGCAAACCAAAACAAAAATGCAATGGTACTGTGTGTATGCGTGTTTGTTGGGAGCACCGATTGGATCAACACCACGATGGGCTGCGCTTTCCGTTTGCACCGCCTTTCCGCCGTTGTGCACGATAGAACACAACTCCTGACGTAACCTACAGAAACGTGGTGCTGATTTGAGGAACAGAAAAGAGAAGAGCAATGGAGAAGAGGAAGGTAAAGCGCAGGTGCATGGGATGAAAAGTAGGAGGAAGGGGAAACCCACAGAAAAAAAGAAGATGCGAAGCGCGCAAACGCAAATGTTCCTTTCCTGGATGTCCTTCACCCATACGTTCGTCTCTGCTGCTCATTTTCCTTCTCTGAGGATGCGGAGAGCGGAGAACAAAACAAAGAAGGAAGGTGTTGACCACGCACACGCCGTCTCGCCGCACCGCGGTAAAGGCCCTTGCAGGGGGAAAAGGAAAGAAACCAACAACGTTTCCTTTCCTTTTCTTTTTGTTTTTGTTTTGGTAAAGGACGCGTGCGCCTCCGGCGTTCTCCGCTCCGCTGAACAGGGAGAGAGCGCACGGAGCGTACTCCACGCCCTGCCGTAGCGGTGAAAGCACCAAGACGTGGTGCTGCAGGGAGGGAAAGACGGAGCCACCCCACAGCCAGCGTGCGGCGGGCCGCGTCGTTGCTACTTCTTACGGTCTATTTGTGAGCGCAACTCGTACAGAGTTCATTGTACACCGTTTTTTTTTTCCTCTCTTTTGTTTTCTTTTACATGTTTAATTTGGCCTTATTGAGAGCCACAGGCCCACGCACCAACACAAAACAGCGCCGCCGCATAACAGCGTCACCGACAACAGAAGAACTACAAAACAACCAAACAAAATAATAGAATAAATAATAGAGAGATGCTTAGCGACGGACGTGAGGAGACGATAACCGAAACGGCAAGAATGCACCGCAAAAAGGAAAAGCTCGTCTGACGAGGACCTTAGCCGGAGGAAAGAGAGAACGAATGAAGAGAAGGGCGCATCTCACTTGAGTGGCGTTGCTCGTCGTTCGACGCCTCTAGAGCCCTTGCACTGTTTTTCGTCTTCCTCCTCTTTTTGGGGGGTTGTACGGCGACTTCGTGTTCCTTCGCAGCTCCTCCTCCTCCCGTCTTTTAAAACTCTTACCCACTTACATGTCACGCGAAAACCAACAACAGCCAAAGCACTCCATCCACGGCCACAGAGGGGGGAAACAGAAAAAAAATAAGAAGAGTGCGAGAGGTGCAGAGATGAAGCTCTCACTTCACTTTCCTTTCTATTGAGCGGCGCTGCTCCTCTTCGTCTTGCCCACGCACATATACGACAATATATATATATATATATATATATATATATATAGAGAGAGAGAGAGAGAGAGAGAGATGTCACACTTGTTAGTCTGGACAACAAAGACACCAACCAAAAGAGAAAAGAAAAATACAATAAAATGAGGCTGATGCACGCGTACTCACACACACACACACGCACACACAGGGGGGGGGAGAGGAATAAAAGCCCCTGTGCATCAGCCACGTAAGTTCTATGATGATGAGAAGCACACCTGTGTTGCCTCCCACTTCCTCCTCCACACACACACACACACACATTGAAAGCACACGAAGGGAACAACGTGCCGTCTCCCTCCCTCTCCCTCTCTCTACACGGAAACTTCTCAAATCCATGTACTTTCCTTTTTCATTTTCATTTACTTGTTCATGTATTGGTTCTCGTTGAGCTGCGTCTTGGCATCCGTCAGCTCCGCCACCTTCATCTCAAAGCGCTCCTGCACCTCCTTCATGATGCCGCCGTCGGTGTACTTGCGGTTCTCCCGCTTGATCTCCTTCTCATCCGCCGTGATGAAGGCGATCGTCAGCCCCTTTGTGCCGAAGCGACCCGCGCGGCCGACGCGGTGCAGATAGCTGTCCGCGTCGGAGGCCATGTCGTACTGCACGACGAGGTTAATACGATCGAAGTCGACGCCGCGGCCGAAGAGATCGGTGGCGACCATTATGCGCGTGTTGTTCGCCTTGCAGCTCTCGTACACGCGCAGGCGCTCCTCTTGGTTCATGCGGGAGTGCACGGCCTGCGACGGGAACTTCATCTGCTGCAGCTGGCGGTTCAGGGCCTCGCAGCGCTCCACCGAGGAGGTAAAGATGATCGCCTGGTTGAACTCCACCACGTCAAGGATCTCCGCCAGGCGGCGCGTCTTCTCCGCCTCGGTGACGCTCATGTAGAACTGTGCGAGACCGTGCAACGTCAGCTTCGCGCGCTGGTCGACGTAGATCTCCGTCGGGTTCCGCATGAACTTCTTCGCCACGTCGCGCAGCTCGTCCGTCATGGTGGCGGAGAACATCATCACCTGCTTGTCCTTTGGCAGCTTCATGAAGATCTCCTGCACGTCGCGGCGCATCTTCACGTCCTCGAGGCAGCGATCGAACTCGTCGCACACGAACCATTTCACGTGCGAGGCGTCGAATGCTTTGCGCTGGAGGAGCGACTTCATGCGGCCCGGCGTGCCGACGATGATCGCCGGCACCGTCTTCTTAAGCTCCTTCACGTTCTCGTCCTCCGGGATGCCGCCAAAGAAGACGCCGGTGGTTGCGTAGGGCAGGTACTTGCTGAAGCGCTTAAACTCCTGCTCAATCTGGTAGGCCAGCTCACGTGCGTGGACGAGGATGACGGCCTGGCAGTACGGCTTCTGTCCCTCCGGCACCTTCTCGATCTGCTCCAACAGCGCAAAGACAAAGACGGCAGTCTTACCCATGCCGGACTTGGCCTGAGCAAGGATGTCGGCGCCCAGCATGGCCTGCGGCAGGGCCTGGTGCTGCACCTCCGATGGGTGCTCGAAGCCGTTCTCGCGAATGGCGTTTGCCAGCTCGCTCTTGAGGCAGAAGTCTTGGAAGCCTCCGAGGGCGACGGCGCTGTGCGTGCCCATGCCCACACCAAGCGGCTGGGCGGCCACGACGGTGGTCCTCACATCGTCGCCGTCGAAGTCCGCGAGATCGCTGCTCATTATGGTGGGCTTTGCAGCAGGCTGTTCCTTCGGTTAAACTTTATGGGTAGTGAGCGTTGAGGGTGGCGAAGGCAGATGAGCGGAGATGGCGAGTGCAATGTCTGCGTGTGTGTATGTTGTTGCGGAAGTGCTACAAGTCTCAGCGTCACGTCGCGTAAATGTTTTTTTCTTTCTTTCTCAGGCTTTGAAAGGCAGACGACGAGTGCGGTTGAAGAAGAAGAAGGAAGGGGGAGAGAAAGAACTTATTTACGAGCGTAGAAGTGGAAGGGACACGTGAAGGCATTTTAGTCCACATCGCCGTGCTGCCGCCCCCCCCCCCCCAGCTGTGCGAAGGCCGAGATGGAAGCACGCAGATCCCTCACGACGATAAGAGGGAACGTCCACGCCACATCGGGTGCGCGTTTGAGTCAGCGGAGGCGCTTGTTGTGTCTTCTGCGGTGCCACCCTCTCTCCCCGCCACTGAAAGAAACGCCGGACGGCACAATGAAGCAGCATTGAGCCTTCTAGTTTTCACCAGACCTCTCAAAAAACACCCACGAGGTGTCCGTCGATCCAGAACGAAGCGGCCTGACCGCACCGTGTCGTATTCGCTCACGCTGCCTCAGCTTCACGGCCATTCACCGTCCGAAGGGGCTACGTCGTCCACTCCGCGCTGTACGCCATCGTTGTTTGCTGTGTTTCGTTAAGGAAGTCTGTGCTACACTAACAGGAGAAGGATAGTAAAGGGAGAAGAAATCAACAGCGTACGCCGCACCCGTCACCATCCCCCTCCTCCCTCCTCCCTCCCTCCACACACACACACACACACACACAGGTCCATAAAAGTAATAATAAGACTTAAACGAAGGCTCCGCAGCTTGCGGGTGTGTGCGTGACGCGGGGAGGGAATGGAGGGGCGAAGAAGGGAGGCGATGTCCGCCTCATGGCGCTGTCTCGCCTCGTGCTTTACACACACTCTCTCCGCATAATTTCTCCTTATCTATTCCTAAAAAAAAAAATACAGAAATACGCATCAACAACAAAAACAGCAAAAAAGAGCGCTCCACACCGACGCACGCGTGCGCACACGCAGAGAGTCCAAGAGAGAGAGAGACGGTCGTCCACGAAGAGAGGGCAGAGTCAACGTCTGTGACCACCGAAACAAACCAAAGGAAAGAAAAAAACAAAGAGGAAGCGCTGCGTACTCTCTCAACCAACTCTTGAAAGGGAAAAACGATTTTTCTTCGGTGTGCGGTTGTGCGTGGATGCGCTTTCGTGCTGCTGCCTGGCTCGTTACGGTAATACATTCTTGGTGTGGTCACGGGTCCGATTGCTTGTGTGTGACATTGCCGCAGCACTATTACGCGGACACCTGCGGGGCCGCCTTCGCGTCCGCCTCCGCCTTCGCCGCCGCCGCGCGCTCCTCAATCAGCTTCTGTGTGTGCGCCTCCACCTGATCGCGCAGCGGGCCGTTCTCGAACTCGAGACGGCGCAGGAAGGCGTCCTTGCCGTAGTGCGCCATGTACTCGTAGTCGTTCCCCTCGAGCTCGGCGATGTCTTCCTCCAAGTACGCGGGGTCGTTGTAGTAACCCATGCAGTAGTTTGTGAGGATGATGAGGTTCGGCGCCTTGCCCTCCTCGACAAACTTCGGGCCGAGGAACTCGTGGTAGTCGCTGACGCGCGTCATCACCTCATCGCGCGAGAGGTTCTTATCGTACGGGGCTAAGAAGCGGCGCCACGCGTAGTCATAGAGGTCCTCGTCGGACATCTGCTCGTGCAGCCTCTGCGTAATCACCATGTAATCCTCGTTGAAGGCGAGGTTCCAGTAGTCCTTCACGCGGGTGCTGGCGCACAGGCGCACCAGCATCGGGAAGGTGGGCAGATTCATGCTTCGGGCGAGGTGCCGCAGCGACTTGCGGCGGATTGTCTCGAGCTTGATGAAGCCGTCGTACATCTCCGCCGCCGGCCGCACCGTCTTCGCATCGCGACGGACGTTGTTCTTCTCGAACAGCTCATCCCACCCGCGCTCCTGCGTGGCGTTCCACGGGTAGGCGTGGAAGTCGAAGAACCACTTCGTGTCCATGATGTACGACGGCGCGCTGCGGTAGCGGTAGAGGTCCTGCGCGGCACGCCACTCCTTCTTCTCCTCCTCCGTCACGTTCAGCACCGATGGCGCGAAGGTGTTGCTCGCCAGCCAGAAGAAGAGTGGCACAATGGCGTAGCCGCCGATGAAGGCGGTGAGGCCGACGCCGTGGGCGACGCGCCACAGATCCTGCTTGTAGTGCATGAGCTGCGCAATGTCCTTCTGCGAGACCTCCTCGCTAAGCTTCATGTCCACCCACATGTTCTTATCCTGCGAGTGGCCGCGCTTCCAGTAGTCCGGCGAGTATGTCTCGTGCTGCTCGTAGAAGTCCTGCGGGCCGTGCGTGTAGCCGCGATTGTAAATCTTCAGCCACGTCGCGAAAGCCTCGCGGGATTGGCTGGCGAACGCCGCCGCGCCCGGCAGGAAGTTCACGCAGTTCTTCTTGAGTACAGCCCAGGTTCCCTGCATGGTTGCGGTGCGGTCCGAGCGGTGACGAGACGGGGATGGAGGTGCAAGCGAGGAAAAGAAAGAAAAGCACGTAAGAGGTGCGTGTGGGTGCGTTTATGAAGAAGAGAGACGAGAGAACAACAACAACAAAGCTTGAGCTGATCAAACTCTCCTTCGTTCTGCTTTCTCGCGACGGCTGGATAAAACACTTTCCGCCAAGAAATAAAAGAGGGCGGTGATTCACCATTGGAGGTAGAAGTAGAAGAGGAGCAGGGAGAAGAAGTGCAGTAGCGCTTGTGTGACGGAAGACACACACACAGACACACGTGAAATAGCGTGCAAAGACCGTAAAGGATGAAAAGAGACGCCTTGCAGCAGCCGATGGCGCTTCACTGCGCACCGCATCGGCTTTCGGTTTCTATCACAGCTGTCACGTCGCATCGTGGAAAGGAGAAGCGAGCCGTCCCACAGTTTCATCGCCTTTTCCTTCCGCTTTGCTTTCCGCCGTTTTGCATAGACGTGTAAGAAGTGACGCTGGAGAGCTGCACAGTGCAGGAGCGACAACAACAACAACGAAAACGCCAACGATACGTGCACTAGCCGCTTCCCCAACGAGTTGAAATCCATAACCCTGCCACAAGAGAAGAAAAGACGCGCTGTTCGTTCGGCAGACCTCGCATAACCAGATGTGCCACAGTGCAACGCAGCAGCCCGCGGGCCCTTTAGGAATGCGGTGCCCAGGCAGCGAGCCCAAACCCTGCGTCACTCGCTCCCCGCAACGCGCAACACAACGGCCACGCATGACATTGAACAATGTCAAAAGAGAGAGAGAGAGAGAGAGAGAGCTAACTTCGACGTCTTCCATCTTCGTGGTGTTCCGTGCGGCCACCCTGCAGCGTGGCTTGATTCTAGCGACCGATCGCGCTGCATCGTATCGTCACGAAACCCCCCAGAAACAAGGAAAGCGTCAACAAACGAAGAGCGTGTTCGGCCAGGGCTACGGAGCCTCAGTCCCATAGCACTTCCAAACCACAGAAGAAGTCGATCCTCGTTGGGACCTCCCTCCCTCGCTCTCGCTGTGTACCACTCGGTTGCCTCTGTCATCGCGGTAAACAACGTACCTTGCCGCATCAGCGCACACCCCACACACACCAACACACACAGCCCACCCAACCACCCATCGTCTGAGAAAAGGGAGGAAAGAAGAGTGGTCGTAAACAGGCCAAACAGTTGAGGACGCATGCAAGGTGAATCAATGAAGCCGTTGATGTGAGGGGAATGAGGACATCGGCCAACAAGGGATCCCTGACAGGACACACACAGACGCAATGATTTCCTTTTATGTGGATGTGGATGAAGATGTGTGTGTGTGTGTGTGTGTGAGTGCATGTGTCTCGTTCACACACACACACACACCGCGAACACCACCACGATGCACACCAGGAGCGGCAGCGTAGGCGCCACCAAACTTCGCACGCTGTCAGCCACCGCTCCGCCCTCATCCCCGTGTGATTTCGCCGGCTTTACAACTCCCTCGGCTCTCGCGGCGCTGCTCCGGTGCCGCGCGACCCCTCCGCCGCCTCCGCCGCCACCTCCTCTTTCTCCTCCTCCGCCTCCTCCGCCGTCTGCTCCAGCAGCGCTACCACCATGTCGGCGTTGGCGAGAATAAAGTACGCCGTCGCAAACAGGCCCGTCCACCATAGCGTCTGCAGCCGACCTTTCCGATACTGCTGCTCCGCCTCGGCGGCCATCGCCTGGTTCACACTCTCCTCCGTGTCAGTGCGCGGCTTCAGGCAGTAGGTCCCGCTGTCGGCCTCAAAGAATAGATGGCGCAGCCGCTCCGTGTACCGCAGCAAGTGCGGGCACGCGTCCATCAACCGCTGCTGATGCGCCCGCACGGAGACGGCCGCTTCGCCGGCGTCGGCGTGGAAGAAGCTGGAGGCGGCGGCGTACACGAGCGCGTCCACGCACGTCGGCTTCGCCGTCCCCGTAAAAAACGTGTCTGCTGAGCTGCCGTGCACGGCGCAGAGCGCGTCTAACGCCACAAACGCGGCGTCAACGTCCTCCCTGACCTCCTTCAGTTTCGCGATGTGCCCCACCGAGAGCCGACCGCTCGGCACGCTCGACACACCGCGCCCCGTGTACAGGTACGGGTTGCAGCGCAGTACGTGCTCACGGTAGCTGCCCGTGAGGCCCTCCCAGAAGCTCGCCACCTTTGGCTCGACGCTCTTCGTCATGGTGGCGCGATACACCACCGGATCGAAGTGCACCAGGAAGAGAAAGGCAGGAAAGATGCACTGCGTCGTCAGCACCTTCGCACACATCGCCTCTGCGGCCCGCGTGCTGCTCACCTGCGCCACGCCGTCCTCGTTGCTGAGGCGGTTCAGGCACGACATCAACCCGCTGCAGACTTCCGCCTTCACGTCGCCTTTGGCTGGCCCCGTTGAGGACCCTTCTGCGATGTCGGGTTCATGGATGCTGAGGGAAAGGTCCCCCAGGCGAACGTCTCGCCGTGAGATGCGTGCGCCCGTAAACCGTAGCATCACCTCGACGGCGAGGCTGCTCGGGTCGGCGGAGGGCAGCGACAGCGCGGCGGGGTAGCGTGAGAAAACAGTCGAAGAAGTTGTCGGTCGCATTTTTACTTTATTTCCTTTTCTTGAGCGGTGACTGAATTGAAAAAAGAAAAGGCGATGTGTGTGTTTGCGTGTTGGAAGAGCACGTGACGCCGTTGCGCATGGCAGACCGCGAAAGGGGGAGAAGAAGCGAAGGTCAAGGGAGAGCGTACGAGTGGAGGAAGGCGCACCGCGAGCGGAGTTAGCACGGTGAAAGAAAATAATTATTCTGGCTTCGCAAACATAGCACATACTCTTGAATCTCGTCAGAGGCGTGTTGTGCACGTGGGTGTGCGGGTGTGTGTGTGTGGTGGGGGTGGGGG